AAAAAAAAAAAAAAAAAAAAAAAAAAAAAAAAAAAAAGATTGAAAGTTTTTGAGTTTGGATCCCCACTTTACCAAAGAGTTGCTAAGTTCTTAAAAGAAATTTGCTCCTTGGAATTATGATTATCTCCTCTCTTCCAAATTTTGAAAAGTTTAGATAAATTGTGACTTTCTCTCTTTTTGATTAATTTTTCCATACCACTTCTTTGTTAGCCATCACCCGTAGCCCCATTACAAGCTAAATAAAGTCTTATTTGATCTTAGCATGCATTCTTAGATTTGATCTAGGGGAGTATGAAAGGCAAGCCTAAGGGATCTCATTCATGAACCGTATCTTGCATAATCTCAACTGAGTATTTGTGCACATTTGATCCTCACATGCTTTAAATTCTTGGTGCTTGGTTATTGGCTTGGAAATGGGTCTCTTATGTGCCAAACTAATTTGATTCTTGAAGCTTGTTGTTTTGTAGCAAGTTGGTTGGTGGTTTGAAAGGTTGTGCAAGAGAGAGCATGAGTAATTTGTATGTTTTGACTTGTGATTTTATTCCTTAATTTTGCTTGGGGACAAGCAAAAGCTTAAGTGTGAGGGGGTGATGTTATCACATCTTTGCTTGTTATTATAGTTATTTTGAATCATCTCAGTATTTAAGTTCTTTAATTTTGCTTATTTAATACATATTTTCCTTGCTATTATCATTTAATTATGGTTCACACTTGTTTTGAATGTTTTACGGTGTTTGTTAGTGTTTTTGAACCATTTTAGGTCAAAGATATGAGCAAGGGAAGTTCAAGGATGAGTTTTGAGCAATTTTGGACGAGTTCGGGGCCCAGTGGACTCGACGCGTCGAAATTTTCCAGTAGCTAACTAATTCGCGCACAGGAAGTCTCGACGCGTGGAGAAAATTCTCGACGCGTCGAGAGAATAGGCGTCTATTTCTGGGATAAAAACAGACGCCTAAAGTGGCGCAGCTGGGCAAAATTTAATACAAGCGCGAGATTTCTTTTCCTAATATCAATTGCACAGATTTCAAGGCTCATATCTCCATATTAAAAGTTAGCAATTCAAAGAATCTTCCAAATTCTAAATATCATTAAAGACGGCAATTTCTTTATTTAAATATAGGAATTAGAATTTGAGTCCAATTTGGTACAAGATTCCTATTTCATCTCAACTTTGTACCCACTATAAAATCCCTCCTTCCTCAACCCTAACCGGACACCAAGAGATTTTTCAGAGTTCTTTGTAGACAAGAAAGAGAGAAATCAAGAGGCCCAAGTTATCTTTGGAAGCAAGGAGGAAGCCACGGAGATTCGGGAGAATCGCTTGGTCAATTCTTGTACTCTTTTGATGGTTTGTGATTCTTTATTTATATTTGCTATGTATAATTTAGCCATGCTTGGCTAAATTCCTTAGGGATTTTTGGGTGAATTTGTTTATGAACCTATGTGCCTAGTTCGTTAATTTCTTAATATATTTATGTTTGGTTTTATGATTTGTGTTGCAAATCCTGTTTTTAACCTGTTGTTGTTGGTAATTAAAGGCCTAAATTACTAGCTTCATAGTCATATTTGTGTCACCAATGGGAGTTGGGGCATAAATTAGGGCACACACGATTGCACCTAATGGTTGGTCCTTGGGAAAGGGGAACTTATTAGGGGAAATTTATTCTAGATTATTGCTCATCGGGAGATGGTAGTAATTAGGAATAATTGAATGCTGATGTTTGATCTTATTGGGTGTTTAAGCCATGGGAGTGGAAATTCACTAGGAATAGAGATTACGGGAGTAATTCGATTCCACTTTGCATTCCCATACAAATCTTAATTCCAAACCAAATATTACAAACGTTAATTGGCACTAGGTGATTAAACATTGTGATCCCAAGAATCCTATTTTGCTCTATTGTCTAAAAAACCTTGTTACTTATTTTATTCTGCTTATTATTTTATGCAATCAATCGACCTTCAAGTTTTGTTCGGATTAGTTTCATATGAGTAACCTAGTAGCTAGTGATTAGTACACCACCTCTTTGTGGTTCGACAACCCGAATACTCCGGGTATTATTTGTTTGCCCCAAATTACAGCAATCAGTGGTGTGTTTAAATGGGCTGCAGGATTCACCACCACCCGTCGTTTCAATTTGGCTGCCATTGTTTATGAGACCTATGGCAAAAGTTGCGATGTAATCTGCTAGCAGATACACAATCCAGAGAGTGAGGACACAAGAGCTGTTCTTGGTTCGTTTTCTTGTAGGAGCTGCAAAAATGAGCACTATCTGGAAGGCTAGACTGGCCAGGACAATCCCTTGGATGTTCCATGTCTCCCAGAAGAACTTGAGAAACCGGAATATGTCTCCAGCAGGAATAGCATCAGCCCTGTAGACCATTGGACTACTCTTAATTTCCAAGTGTCCACCTCCACTAATTTGATTGCTACTCGATCTGCACTCTCTATATGAAAAATTTACAATGTACTCTTTTAAATTTATAGGTTTCTCTATGTATTTCTAACAAAGCACAAGATATAACTTTTGCAACAAATGATATTATAACTTACTGTATTGTAAACATGGTTGCAGTAAAAGAAAATAAGCCTAGCGCTTAGGCACCGCCTAAACAGTTAACTATGAAAAAAAATAGTGCACGTGTGTGGGTGTATGTAATATATATATATATATATATATATATATATATTTTTTTTTTTTTTTTTTTCTAAAATTGTATGTAAAATGGTATAGTAATAAATATTTCTCTATTAGCATTTAATCTTATTTCTCCAACCGGGTTTCATCTCATCGAAATTGACTCATAATCGGGTTTCATCTCATAAGCTTAAAATAAGATCAGATAGTTCATTAATAACTAATAAATATAAATACCAATAACATATATGTATGTATCACATGATGAGATGATATATTTCTCAGCTCGTTACAATCTTAAAGAATTTGGTACTTATACTACTTTTCATTCAAATTAATAAAATTAGCTAATTGCAACAGAGAACAACTAAAGGGGTATGGGAAGGAACAGTATACTGAATGTTGCAGCTAGCAACTCACAATTATCGGTCCTAAAAAAGAGTAGAAGATATGATCATGTTGTGTTTCCATTAGGATTTAGGCATTAGCAGCTAAACATACATAAAAAGATGGAAACGAGGTGAATTGAGCTGAGGAACGTAACATATATACTTGGGTTCTTAGCTTCTTGGAGGGTTAAGTTGCAGTTGCATGATATGATGATTCAGCTAGCTAGCTAGCGAGGATCAAGCTAAGACACCACGATTCCCTTCCCTTATATAGAAACCAATGGCAAGGACGTAGGTACTTACTAAAGTGCTCTTCGAGTGGTCCTAACATATTATTGAATTGTGAGATAACCCCATTCAAGATGCTAAGATATTTACATTTGTAATCATAAAGTCACAAGTTTAAATCATTGCCCCTTGATTTGAACCAATCAACTATGAGTACTTCCTTATGATCCTATACCGACTAAGGTTATAAGACAAAATTTACTTATACATGAAAGAGTTGTGGGATTTTCCTCTTCATACAAATATTATTGAATTGCTTTAATTTGCATTATATCATTTTTCCGGCCAGTTTTTAAAATGTTCTAGACGTGCAGTGCGAGCGACGTAATTCCAAATCAATAATCAGTAGTGACGTCGGGAACTATGCAAGACTGTCTTCAAGCTGGGGAAATATTAAAATGTAACATATATAGATAAATAATTAAATATGTTCTTGGCTTTATTAAAGAAGAAATAAAATAAATAAAGCTAAGATACTTCTCGCATTTATTAACGCATGCATTTTGATAGGACCAAACAAGCTTTTTTTTTTTTTTTTTTTTTTTGAAAACCCGACCAAACAAGCTATTCGTCAAGAAGAAGACAAGTATCTTACAGACTCGAGGCATTCAATTCTGTGTCATCCCATTCTACCAGGATTAAATAATTTTAGTTCATTCTCATTAATTAAATTGAAAATATGATTAAGATAAGACCTCAAAAAAAAAAAAATGCAATACATACGAATAGTTCTACACATTTTGTGATGAGAAAATTCTCATTTAACGAGATGTGTTATAAATTTATAATTGACCAACCAATTGACTTGATGAATAATCACTGGTTGACATTCATTTGAAAAATAAAAATAAAAAATTGGCTATGGGGTGTGTGTTTAGCTACACAGTAATATTTAATCATTTAAATTTAATTTGTTCTCAATTATTTTTTCACCAATCAAAATAAAAGTTTAAGACATTGTCTGTCACACCATAATTACACAAGAAATTCAATAAACTTTCAATTTGTCTGAACTTTTCATTTTACATCTATAATTAAATTAATAAAATTTGATTGAGAGTATTTATTTTTTGATTATTTGTAATATTTAATTTAGTGTTAATGCATAAAATGTATATATTTAATAACTATACCAAAAATATTATTAAACACAAAACAAAATGTTAAAGAAAATAATCAACGAAAGAAGAATTATATTGACTTTGATTAAAAAAAAAAAAAAAAAAAAAAAAACTTGCAGTTGTTACCTGCATATGCGTTCTAGGTGAAACCTACCCTATGCATTTTGATTTATAAAAAAGCTTGCAGTTGTTACCTGCATATGCATTCTAGGTGAAACCTACCCTATGCACTCTGGGTGTGCTCAGATTTGTATAGTTGCAAATCATGTATCAAGAATTAGATTGATTAATAAATAATAAACAAGGCAAATAAAATGTAACAAAAAGAGTAATAACTTATGTCGATACCAAATCAAGGCAAATAAAATGTAACAAAAAGAATAATAACTTATGTCGATACCAAATCAAAGCATATGAATGATGAGTGTTGAGGGTTAAGAAAAGGGCAGGCATAATAGCAGCAGCAATTTAAATTAATTTAAGATGTTCATTTTTTTTGGGTGTACCTAAGATTTCTACTGTCGTAACTAATCCCTTGCTGAATTATAGATCGTAAGCACCTTTAATGAGCCAAACAACTGGCTTGGAAAAGATTAAGATGTTCATCTTTTGTATATGGTATACGTATATCATCTCTTTCCAAGGAGCACAAATTTTATTTTTTTAACAGTCAAAATTATGCAGAAACAATATTTTTAACCAAAAAAAGGAGGGGGAAGCGATTTATGGAGCCATGAGTCCTTCAAGAGTATAATGGAGAGACTCTGCCCAGTCAACTTTGAAAAGTAATGTCTGCAACGTCTGCAACACATCGTACTCAGGATCCAGTTTCCGCTGCCATCCCTACAACAAATCAAACATCAAAATCCCTTTTACATACCAATTAAGCATAACACAAAACAGAAACATGTCTGATCATCAATGTTACTATGGACATGCACAATCAAGATGACAAGATCCAAAACAAGAAATTGGAAGATGAAAGTACCTCCAGTACCAGTGTAGTTACCATCACCGTACAAACGTTCCCGTCGATGTTTACACGATGCCGCCTAACTTGCTCAAGCAAATGATGCATGCAATCAGCAGGATGGAAGTTTCCACCTTCAGCTGTACCCCAAAAGTTGAAAGTCTTCTCCACTTCCTAATAACAGAAAGCACGAACCTTTATCAATTATTAACGATGAAAAAAATATTTTGCAGAAGCATGCAATAAAGGATTGATATTCCAAAAGTTATTTTTCTTTAATGAGTAGCACAGAGGGCAGAAAAGAAGCACCTGAACGAATGCCTCTGGACTGGGGCACTTCTGTTGCTTAGATAATCTAAGAGTACACTCAGCAGCAGTGCGGCCATCTCGAACTGCAACGGCCTTAAAGAATTCCAGCAATGTGAGACGATCCTTATTAGAGAGTTCAGCAGTCATACCCACATCAAGAAAAATCACATGAGGCTTCGATTTGAACATGCCTTTACTCGGGGCCTTCTGTCTAGATACTCTAACAAGAATGTTACCTGGATGCATATCTGCATGTATGAAATTGTCTACCTGGAAACCAAAGCACTACAAGTTTACAATACATACACACAATCACTTTATTGTGTAATCTAACACAACCAAGCCTTAACATCAATCTAGTTGTAGTTGGCTAGACCGTTATAGAACTAACAAGTGCTATGAGCATATCTCACATGTCCCACACTCCCTTTACAAGGCAAATAGGAATGTTCATATAAGAAGCTGGTCATATAATTTAATATTTCCAAAAAGTCCTAATCAAGAACTCGTGGTTTGATATGGTTTAGACCTAAAGACAGCTAATGAAGTGTAAGAATATTGCCAGGAAATACGTAATACTTATGTTCTCATATACATAAACAAATTCAGAAATCAGGAGAAATAAGAGTACTGTGACAAGCTGTGAAGCATGTTAAGTAACCATACCAAAAGCATCTTCAAGAGTGCATGAGTCCCAATATGCGCAAGTGAACTTTTAATATGCTCTTGTCCCTCGAGCCCATCAACATAGTGAAGAACATTATCACCATGTTCAAATGTTTCCACTAAAACAGCAGGATGTACCAAAGGATATAGAGGTTTTGGGAATGATACATCTTTCCATCTACGAAAATTGTAAATAAACCGACTCAAGTTAGCTGCTTCCCTAGAAAGATCAACTTGGGACATCATGAACACTGCAAATTGCTGAATGCTTTCATCCAACCTCAACCATTTCAAAGTAGGAATGAACTTAGAAACTTGCCCAAGTAAATCAATCAATACAAAATCCCTTCTGATAGCTTCAACAACGCCTGGATGCCTAACTTTTACAGCAACCATCATAGGTTTAACAGGCTTTCTAGGATATTGGAATTTCAAGATAGCTCGATGAACTTGAGCAATACTACCAGATGCTACAGGACGCTCCTCAAATTGTTCAAATATTTCTGCCAGCTTTCTGCCAAATGCCTTTTCAATACTTCTTTTTGTGTATGAAAAGCTATGTGCTGGTGCTTTACTGTGAAGCTCAGCAAGTTCTGTGCAGAGATCATTTGGGAACAGATCTGGCCTAGTTGCCGCCCATTGTCCCCATTTTATGAATGCTGGACCTGCCTTCTCTAAGGTGGTCCGAACAAGACGAAGCCATTTCTTCCGATACTCGATATCAAGGATGTTTGCAACAGGAGCTGTTAGTATGCAAGGTGAAAACAAAATTGTCAAGTATACTGCCCTGAGAAGCAATATCAAGCTCTCTAAAAGTGAGAACACAAATGAAGTCAAGTAAATGTGTCCATCTTTTGCCTGTGTGTATAGAGACTCCTTGATAGGGGATTCTGCATATACACTCTGTTTCCAAGTGAACTTGCCAACAAGAAAAGCCAAAATGCCTGGAGATACCAGGTGGGAGCGGGATAAAGCAAGGCTGATTGCACAAGCAATCCTACTTAATGGGGGTATAATGGCTCCACAGCAGGAATGCATTTGAAACAGACTCTTCCACGCCATTTGAGCATGGTGTGAGACTTTATTATTTGTGGTGAATGAATGGCTGTTTTGTAAACCTCTACTTCTCCAGAAAACAGCTTTAGATTTGTATGATGTGCATGAAGCAAAACCTCTATGAAAAACTCTGCATTCTGCACTTAACTTTGAAAATATGTAAGGAAATCCAATTGAGCATGGTGACCAAACCTCCAAACAGCTGTTTCTAAGTGTTGCAAGCTGGGAATGAGCAATCCTCCTAGCATTGACAATAAACAGAAATCTGTGCATAACGATATATACCATTGATTCATCAAACTCACAGTTATTTCTGTAGAAACGGAACACCAATGTATCACCTAATTCAGTTCAATTCACAAACTGAATAGCAAATTCATCATTACAATTTAAAATAAAAGCTCTCGTAGGGAACTTTAATATATATACACATATATGCATGTATTATATATTTTTAATTTCAATTCCTAGACTTATTTTGCTTAAACTCAAGACCATTCCTAAATATTTGATTCCAATTACGAGTAGGATTCCAATGTTAGAACAAATATCTCCTAAGATTATCAATTTATCATACTACTGCAAAGATGATAGTTTTCTCCATATTGACAAATATTGAATAGTTTACACATACTCGGAAAGTAAGATTTAGTTACTCTTCCGAAAGATCGGACTCCAGAAGTAACCAGCAGAACACAAATTGAGTTATATATACACGCAAGGCAACTTAGGCAAGCAACACAAAAATTCTACACGTTTATGAGAATACGAACCTTGAAATAGCCATAGGTAATGAGTGCAGCTGGGTCTATGATTCCGGGCCGGAGCGGACCATCACGAGGCATTTTCACTTCCACCTGAGGGTATAGATGTCAAATGATGAATTTCCCAGAGCATGGGAACTACCGACAGCATATGGCCAGTGATTGTAGTTCTGCCGGTGTCGAAATCCAGCTAGGAAATGGCGGTGGAGAGCGGATGAAGGCAACTGGTCAGCCGTACACGGCGGCTCTGTTTACTTACTGCTGTGGCTGTTGACGACAATATGTACAGTATCGAGCTGGAAAGTGGAACCTGAGAGTCTGAGAGAGTGTGCGATATTTGGGTCGGGTCGGGAATTGTCTTGTCTGTACGCTAAAATCGGTGGTTAAAATCATTTTCTTATCTACTTCGACGTCAAAAAATTAAAATCCAGCAGGCCGTAATAGGACAGTTAGGCAAATTATGCTGTGCAATTTGTGGTGTACACGGAATTGGATTCATAATTTCTTAAGTTGTTGGGGACCTAATACTTAAAACTTTTGTTTCAGTTCCAACTTCCTAGCTAGCTAGGATTTATTTTGTATGCCCATGCATGTGTACATTATTCTATTCGATCATATATCAGTTATGTTAATGATTAATGGTATGTAGTATTTAGTTGAAAATTTTATTGACTCAAACTTGATCAAACATCATGGAGTTCAAATGAATTGTTTCATAAATCAAAAAACAATGGAGGAGTAAAAGATATTTTGTTCTTGTAAAAATACTTTTTTTCAATGATCTATTTTATTAACAGAATTAAAATAAAGTATGTATGAAAAGAAAATAAATGAGGTCATGTTAATTAAGGGCTACGTAATGAGTGTTTATATATATATATATATATATATATATATATATATATATATATATATATATATTCTCAAGAGCCATTTCAAATATTAATAGTTAAAGTTATAATAGTTAGGCTTAACAAATTAAAATATTTCTTTGTAAAAGTGTTGATTTTTTTTATAGAAGAGAGGGTTCAAACTCCCGACCTCTCTTTAAGTATAAGAATGCACAATCAATCACACCAACCAAGCGGATTAATATTTAATCTTAGTAACTACACAAATTTTTTAATCTAGATAAAATAATCTTTCCGGCAATATGCAGGGGAAAGCGTTAGGTGATCCAACAAACCCAAAAAACCGTGGGCTAATCACCCATAAAATAAAATTAGAAAACAGCTAGAAGTGGCCTGTTTTAAAAACGCCACCCCACCGCGTCATTCCCCAAACTATAGGCAATTCCGCCTATGGTTTTCGGTTTCGTATTTTCTCGCCGCCACCAAATCCCTACATAAACATACGCTCAAAATCCGTTTTCTTCACTCTTATCACCAAACGCCCATTCCTCCGATCTTCATCCTCAGTATTCACTTCAGCTAATAATACAATATATTCGAATTCCAGAGAAGAAGAAAAAAAAATGAGCGGGATCGCTAAAAGATCAGCGTGGATGGTGGCGACTAGCATTGCGGCGGTGGAAGCGTTGAAAGATCAAGGGTTTGCAAGGTGGAATTATCCTCTGAGATCGCTGCATCAACATGCCCAGTCTAAGGTCGCCTCCTACAATCAAGCCATGAGACGCTCTTCGCCTCTGCAATCTTCGTCCATGGCTTCCTGCAAGGCGACGACGCGGGAGGCCAAGTTGAAGAGAGAGAGAAACTTCAACAGAGTCATGGATGTCAACTGTTGGGGTCCTAGTACTGTTAGATTTTGATTTGGTATCTGCGATAGTAGTACAGAAGGATGCAATTATATTTGGTAATTGGTATTGCGGCGTATTCGGTAGAGCCGCTCTAAATGAATCAGATAGAGCTCCTGCGAATATGAATATGAATATAAATATTCCTGCAGTGTGGAAATTGGAAAAAAAAAAAAATGTAGATCGTTATATCTTTTATAAATGAGATAGAAGTTTTGAATTAGCACAGTCACTATTGTTTGTCGGAGTTGAAGTTTTCCGGCCTCTTCCCATTTCCAATTAATTAACCATCCAATTTCCCCCTATTGAACGTCACAAGGGGTTCAATTAAGTGGCTGGGCAGTACTTTTTTGATACATACGTTTATTCCAGACGTCTAGTGGTGAAACTGACTACTATTCGGTTGATGTTTTCTTGGCTAGGTTAATCGCCAGTTGGATGTTTACAATACGTTTTTTAATGGAAAGCTAGCTGAGACAGTGTATATGTGCCAACCGACAGGGGTTATGTTGATAAGGAATTTCCTGACCATGTTTGTTTTTGGTCTTAAACATGCTCCTTGAGCTTGGTTTAATCATCTCCATGTCTTTTTTCTCTCTGTTGGGTTTCGAGTGTGAAAAACTGATTTTTTCGCAGGATTCTTGGAGTGTGTACTTGTTGGTTTATGTTGATGATATCTTGGTTATGGGGAGTGACTGGGACTTTGTTGTGATTATGGGGAGTGACTGGAACTTTGTTGCGATTATGGGGAGTGACTCGGACTAGGACTTGGTTGCTAAGTTGATAGCCAAACTCTCTGTTTTTCAAGATTCGTGACTTGGGGTGCTCCTAACTTGAGATAGTTTATACAGATGGGGGCACGATACTCTTATCCTGAAGCGTGCTAGCATGGTTACGTTGATTGTAAATCGTTAGCAACGCCGATTCTTGTGTCTTGTGTCTTGTTTTGGCGTGGGCTTGAGTGAACCCTTTGTTGATCCCACGTAGTTTGTCCGGACCTTACACCGTGTCAATCAATTGTGTGCTCTGACTATGGCTCATTGGGCTCAATTACAGAGGGTGTTACTATATGTAAAGGTCATTTTACACTATGTCCTGCGTTTGAGTAAGCCAAGCCTCCTACCACTGATATGCATGGCCGGATTTTGCGCCGTGCACTATGGGCAACATCACATGGCTTTTGCGGACATGTGTGCAGAGATTGTATCATGTATTGTGTGCAGAGATTGTATCATGTATCCTTATTACGTGGGTGTCCGATCAGTGTCTATCCCTAAGTTATGGTGTGATAATCTTGGTGCCACGTACATGTGTGTCAATCCTGCATTTGATTGATTATCATGTAAATTTTATTTCAACCAAAGATCAATTGACAGAGGTCTTTACAAAGCCGCTTGGCTTTGTGTTTTATGTTCTTGCATGACAAGTTTCAGGTTGTCAATTCAACATGAGCTTGAGAGGAAGTGTTAAAGACTCTTGTAAATACAATTCTAATTGTATTATAACTTTACGGTATGTATATAAATTTCGTTTGTAATCCTGAACAAATAATTGAATTAATCAGAATACTAGTTCTAATCAATATCACAAACATAGAATGTAAAACTAAAAAAATTACTTAATAAGAATAAAATGGTCAAAGCACAATAATTTTCCTGCCCAAACGCCAAACGGTGTCTTCTACATTTCTACTCTCAAGTCTCACCCTCTGGTCCCCTGTCCCCAATCAATTATTCAATTTACCCCTAGCTTGAATCCTCAAATAAAAGAATCCAAAACAAAATCTTCAACTACTACACGGAGCTAGTAGACTTTGCAATTAACGCATATCTGGATGTAGCCGCCTTTGCAATTTAATTGCCACTAAAAATTTGTTAAATGTATCTTCATTTAAGTGTACAAATTTCTTGTTGAGTTGTCAGTTGATTCCACAGTCATAACAATAATAATAGTTTTAAAAAAATTATTATAAAATGCTTTAAGAAAAAATAAATAATATGTTCTTATCTCTATAAGTTATTTCATATATGGTTAAAAATAAACAACTAATTTACTAAATACACATAAGATAATACAATTCACTATCAATAATCTAATATACTATCTATTGATTGGCATTTGGCAAACATCTCAAATATATAATTAGGAATGACAATAAGGCGAGTTCAGACCGGAAATACCTACATCCTCCGCCTGATCCAACATATCTTAAATTGAAAATTTTAACATTCACTTCTCACCTATAACAAGGCAGGTATCCATCTTGAGTAATTACTCCAAATTTATAATATGTTTTTAAAACAATAAATTAATTATAATTATTTGTTAACTATTGAATTGAATAAAAATTTTATTTGAATATATTTATTAAAATTATTTATAATATTCCAAAATTTTAAACAAGCTTATATTAAGTGGCATTACCTCCATTAGATGGCAGTGTCAAAATCTTCTGAAAATTCATTAAAAACCTAATTAATTCATACCTTCCAACAAACCTACACCAACAAACTTAGCTAGCTGGCAATTATTAACTTTATTACTCACTTTAATCATAATCCCACAATTATTTACTCACACCAACTAACCCCAATAATTAACCGTTAGTTTGACCCACTGCACGTTTAATTCTTTTCCTTCAAGCCTTCCTCCTCCGATCCACCACCTCAGCTGCCAATTTATTGGAACTCTGATTTCATGTCCGCCATTGCAACTTTCCTTTTCACCCTCTATGGGCCTTCGTCCAAGCATACAACTAATTTAACCGCTTAGCTGATCGCCGCCGGAGTGCACTTAATTTTCATGGCCTGAGTATAGTAGAAAGGAAGTATTAATCGAGAGTTTCCAGATTCCGACGAGTCGACGACACTATGCCCATTACGGGCGAGAGGAAGTTATGGAAGCTTTGCCCTTTCTGGCAATACGGAACCCGAACCGCCTCTTCTACTCAGAATCTTCATCATAGCAACCAAAACGGCATTGGATCCACCGCATCCCGCTCCTCTACCTCTGTTTTCTCAGTAGTTAGACCGTTTCTTCCTGCCCGCCGTCGACTCCGCCTCGATCCAGCAAAAAACCTCTATTTTCCCTGTGGGTAATCGCTATCTCGTCATTTTATTTTATTTTCTTTTAATAGTTGAGTTATAGTTTTAATCATCTTTTTTTTTTTTTTTTTTTTTTTTTTTCTTTCATTGGAGAGCATTTAGGTTTTTAATATGCTGATAATTATTGGCTGTTTATATGGTAGATGAACCAGGAAAGCAGGTGCAAAGTGCTATTAGGGTCAAGAACACTACCAAATCCTTTATCGCATTTAAGGTAAATTCTGTCCTTTTTGGAGTATTTTACAAATGTAACTCTATACCATTTTACCTATGCTGGCTTCAATTATTGGTTCTCATTCTAAATTTGTTGTTAGCTAAAACTAAGCTACTTGTGAAAATGGGGTTTAGTTTATGATATGCATGGCTACACTATATTTGCAGTGCTGTATGTTTCTATGATGCATGTATCATTGAATTAAAATTAAAGCCAGCAAATTTCACTTTTAGTGGGCAACCAGACAAGTTGGTCAAGCTGTCGATTCAGTAATTCCTAGTAGGAAAGGCCTATTGGCCTAGGGTAGTGACTACGAGTTTTTCTTGTCACCCAGAAAAACAAAAAGAAAAGCTGTGCTTGCAGTAAACTTGCTTATTGATTTCTTTTTTTGAATTTGAAGTTTCAAACAAATGCACCAAAGAGCTGTTACATGCGACCTCCTGGAGGTATCCTGACACCCGGTGAAAGCATTATTGCTACTGGTAATAATCAACTCCCTCAGTTTCAATGGTAAAATTAATCTGCAAATTAATGTCGTTTTGCTGCTTACTGTTCGATCAAATGCTATATGATTGACAGTTTTCAAGTTTGTGGAGAATCCAGAAAACAGTGAAAAGCCCATGGATCTAAAGACCAAAGACAAATTCAAGATCATGAGCTTGAAAGTGAAAGAAGGAACAGAATATGCACCTGAGTTGGTGAGTTTTATTAATGTCAACATGATACGAAAACAAAATATTTTTGCCAACAAAGTTGGTCAGACTGTTAACTTGGTAATCAAGAGTTACAAGTTCAACTCCATCCTGTGAGTCGGTCAACTATGGGCAACCTAAGCTGGTTTACATCGTATGAGTAGTGGCTGTGGGTTTCCCTCTGTCACCCAAAAAAATCTGTTTGTTTTAAGAAACACCTGCATGTTTCCTTCTAATGTCCCAGGCTGATGTTGATTGGTATCGAATTTCTGTTTAATGTAGTTTGATGAGCAAAAGGAGCAAGTAACCATTGAGCAAATTTTGCTAGTGGTGTTCTTGGATCCAGAACGCCCTTCTCCAGTAAGAACAAACTTAACCATTCCTTGTTTCTTTTGCATATATCTATAGTTGTCATGCATTTTCAGAACCTAATTTCAAGCGGCTTGATCTTTAAAGGCACTTGATAAACTAAAGCTTCAGTTAGCCGAAGCTGAATCTGCAATAGATGTTCGCAAGAAACCTCCTGTAGATACAGGTCCAAAAGTTGTTGGAGAAGGTCTCGTCATCGATGAATGGGTAAGCATGTTTGTACAGAACAGATTAGGGTGCATTTCTTCAGGAATTTCCTACTTGTTTCCCTTAATTAATTACTTCAATTTCACTCTCTCTCTCTTTTGTTCCATAGAAGGAGAGAAGGGAAAAATATCTTGCACGGCAACAGGTTGAGGCTGTGGATTGACTGGATTCAGCACAGGAAATTTGATCTCCCCTCTCTCATTTCTTGATTTCTTGTATATACATGTTGAGCATAATATATATGAAATAATAAATGTACAATCTGAACCAGACAGAAATTAAAACATCCTTCTATTTGTGTATAAAATCTAATATGCAATATATTCCGTACCATAATGTAGACATTCTTGGTCCGTATACATTTTTGTGTTTTGCTCATATCATCAAACCAATTCAATAAACTACAACATCATATCCTCAGATTTTTACCAGAGAGAACAATATATATAAGCATCCTATCTAAGAACTAAAAAGCTGGGAATCAATTAACTGAAATTCATAGATTATCCGGCAACTGGAAGTGTTGGGAGCCAAAGATTTGGTGAGATCCGTTTTGGACAAAGACGGCGAGGCCACATTTGGTGCTGTTGAAGCCTTCCCAAAGTGGGAAATTGAGGGTTCCTGAGATCGTCTTCTTTGCGGAGATATCTTTAACGTTGCAGAGCTTCTCAAGCCTCCTTACTACGTAGTCATTGGCTATAACCTTATCTCTGTTTTCCCCCTTGAGGCAGTTGGTCACCAAACCGCTCTCGAATAGAACAACCATGACGTTTGCGCCATTGCCGTCCACCTTGCTCCTTAAAGCTCCTGTCAGGGACACTTGCAAGGAATCTGAAGTTGGTCTTTCGAATGTTGCCTGGAATAAATAATAAATGTAGGTGAGCATAATGTCACAGACTGTTTTTCCGTGACTGGGGGAAGACCCAAAAGAGTGTGGAAACGGCTAACTCGTTAGGCCAACTCGTTAGCATCAATAGCGTTAAAGGTTGTTCTGCCTTAGACGCTAAGGTATGGCTGAGTTAGCCAGGTTGGGAGCGGTTGCCGCTTCCCTGATGAATCCATGACAAGGTGAAACCAGTGTGGTGTGTATGTGGGGAAGGCTGGTCCGCGGGCATGAGGGGCCTCGGGGCCTCGCCGTGCGCTGCGCCGGACTCTATGCCCGTGTCAATAAGTTTCAGATTGCTCTAAAATCCCAATTTATAAGTAATAAAATCAAATCGAAACCTGGAAGGTAGGAGCTGGGAATCTGGGTGCAGATTTAATGGAGGTGAAAACGGCATCGAGCTCATTGGCAACGCATTGGATCTTGCCCTGAACCACGATCTGGGGAGTGAACATGGTGTCGAGTCGCAGGGCCTCAACGTAGGCCTTTTGCCTGACGGTCCATTTGCTGGAGCCGAAGGGATCCTTCCACCCCATATAATCCCAGTAGTCAACATGGTAGGCCAACAATATCACCGGCACTTCCAGCTCCAGCTCGAAGTCGCCCCTCCCAATCCTGGAGAACAGCAGCTCCGCCTCAGGGGAGGTGGCGCATCCCTGTGATGAAAACAGCTCCACAACCACCGCCCCACCCCTCCTCTGCTCCTCCGCCGTCACGTCCGCCGTCGCATTCTCGTGAGATATGCTGCGGTTTGCCGCGGAGGAGGATCCTTTGCCCCCAAAACAAGAGAAGAGACGCGGCGCCATGCTCGTCTCAACCTGCAGGTTATGATATTAAAGAAAATGGTTTTTCAGACAGAGCGAGAAAGTTTAGATTAATTCGGATCGGAACAGATTGCTGTGTTTTTTAGGTTGGGGGTTTTGATCTTATAGAAACAGAAAGGTGTGGTGTCGTTACCGACACAGAGGAGTCGGTGACACGTTAATTGTAGGAGAAGATCGAGATCGAAGGTGGGTTGGATTGTCATGGATCAGCTAACAATTCCAAGTCCCAGGAAAGATGCCAGATGGATGCGTTGACAACCAATCTCAACTAATTCTCCACTACAGTATAAACAATTCCACACAAAAGGGAATAAATTTGAGGAAAATTATAATGTGGTTTCTCGTTTATGAAAAACAAATGTCCTAATTCACGGGTTAAAGTGCGTGCTCTGTCTTCTTCAAGTACAATCCAAACAAATCCAAGCTGATGAGATGCCATCGTATAGAAATATTGTTGGGTAATAAGGTGGAAAATCTCAAAAATAATAATCCTACAAAAAGAGTATTATTATATAGGAAAAAGTACAAAATTGGAAAGAAAAATGTGGATGATTCAGATAGAGGTTAGCACGAGTTTGAATAAATCGTTCTTAAAACCTTATTTGCTACATCAGCTAGCACAAGTGCTAGGAGTGTTGTAGCCAGGTTTTCCAAGATAAAACATGCTACTATTCAGTGTTTGAGCACCCAAACAAGAATCCGGCGAACAAAACAAAGTATAGAACACACTTGGCTAAAGAAAAGAGTAGAAGTAGAGTTTTGGGAGCTGAAAACGGAATTTCTTGTTATTTTAAAGTGCTGCTCTACCCCTTCTTATATAGGGTTGAGGGAGTTGAATAGCCTTCAATATAACATTTAAATTGGTATTAAAATCAATTGTGTAACACCTGCAACAGCCATGACCACTAACTGAGATTAAATTCAAATTTAAAAATTTGAATTAATAGAAAATTAATTCCCTAACAGTTGAGCTTAATCTCTGAACGGTCACTGTCAGAGAGGACGAATCTGGATGCAGAAAGGGGCCGAACGGCGCACACAAGCTTAGGCTTGCTTGATTCAAGCATTTTTTTTTATCTCATTATGGGATATGATTTTCACACTCCCTGCGCGCGAGAGAGAACCTCTATGCTATACAATTCAATAAGCTTTAAAAGACCTCTTGTACAAATAGTGGTGCAAATCCACTTCCAAAACCATGTGAGATAAAACCTTCACCTTTTCCCTTCATTTTTCCAACTCATTCACCCATTATTTGTTTTGAGCGTACAATATACCATTCTCTTCGTCTCACTACGAAGAATCCGAATCCACTTTGACCCGACCCAAATCGGAAGTGGATCCCACTGATAATTGTACCACAAAATAGCCACTTAATATGTCATTTTAAGCTATTTTTTCCAACAAATATAGCATATCAACCCACTTTGTATTAAAAAGATCAAAATATCCTTGTATTTAATCTCATTTAAACAGGTTTGTTGACAGAGGATAAAAAATGATCATGTCACAATAATACTACTAGGATAAATATATGATTTTTTTAAAAGAATTAAAAGTGAAATGACACATATAAGCCGTAGGCGGGATCAAATTAAAAATGAAATTAACTCCCATTTGATGCATATAAAAGAAGAATGAAGATGGATATGAGACAACTATTCATTACAAAAACATAAAATCGTATTAATTACATGCAATGCGTACGTACAACGTAACTAAGCAATATAATTAGATCCTTAGAAGTCAAAATCATCCTGATTAGGTTTTGGGGATGTCAACAACGCTGTATAAAGCCTGAGCCTGTCTTCTCCGAGAGAAGAAGATCTAGACCGCGGTCTCCTGGGCCTTATGAAGGAGAGCGAAGTGAGCGTTAGGCGGTGCCTGTATCTCCTCCAGGCCAGCTGAATCGCCACCGCCGCCCATGTTCTCCACCCGGGAGAGTAATACCTTGCGCTTCTCTTCACTTTCTCGTTCACAAATGTGTACCGGAAATGCTGCGTTACGTACTTCACGTCTTTGGCTTCCAGCCCGAATGCCTCCGTCGCTTCCAGCGTCACTAGGCTGGAGGAGGACGGCGGTAGCCGCTCCACAAAGGGCCGCCGGAGACACCATGAGAGGAGCTCGTCGCCGCTGAAGTTTCCCGGGCCTAACATGCAGCAACTTTTTACTCCTTCTCGTAGTACTTGGCTGCTTTGGAGATGACCTCTTACTATAAACAACATTCTCTGCACTGGATCACCCTCTCTTGTTATCTATTACCAAAAATCAAAATATATGATACTTTAAATTCAATTTGGAAAAGCTAGAATATAATATATACACAATTTATACACATATATGTTTTTAAAAACTTACAGTTTCTCCCTTCGTAAATATAAGGGATTTCACCCTGTCACATATGTTTTCCAGGACCAAATTATCCATATGTTGAAATAGAGGCACCTGAAAATAAATCATTTATACACATTTTAAAATCTAGAGATCCATGTGAATATTATTAAAATGAACTTTGTTCAGATATATATATATATATATACCTGTCTAACCAAGTCCAAACACAGATGATATTTGATGTCTCTCCTAAGACCTTCAGGGAGGTTTCGGATCATTTGACATTCATCTACGCCGCGCATTGCCGCCCAGCGCTGCCGCTCGTAGTTTCTCACTCTCTGCCGGAATTCCGGCGGCAACGACCGCCTCCTCATCCACCACTCTACGTTCCTCATCTTCAACTGCATTGCCTGTTTCTTTGACGTCGTTGCATGCAAAAACACCTACATGTCCAGATAATTATGAACATATAGTTCTGTATTATAAATATAAAAATTTAATAATTGTGAATATTAAATTCAAAAATTATGAATATATAGTTTTATAATTATGAACATATAATTTAGTAATTATGAATATAGAGTTTAATACTTATGAATATGAAGATGGACACGGTTTCACAGCATAACGATGGTATATAATATACAGCGGGGCCAAAAATAAAAATAAAAATAAGTTATTTTTGGATGGATGAAAATTAAAGAGTACTTGAAATTTGATATAGTTAAGACACGTGTGCGGTCAAAATTTTTTTTTTAAAAAAAAAAAAACAAAAAGAGTTTACCTTGATGTTTCCAATCAACATGGTGACAAGAAGGAGCCCACTGGTAAGCACAATGATTATGAAAACTACCTCTAGCCAATCTGTTGTGCTCTCCAAATTACCGAAAGTACTGTTCCATTTATGTTCAAACGCTTATGATTTTTGATTAGTGAATTTGTGTATATTATAGGTAAGGAACGAGTAATGCATAATCATACCTGAGAGTCATGAGGCCCCAAAAGATGGGAAAAAGTATTTTTTCCAGACGATTTTCATTTATAACAAGTTGGACGGTCCATCTATATGCACCATAAGAAAAATTATTATCTTCGGCAAGACAAGCTGCTCTTACGTGGGCATTGTTACCCCACGTCAAACGTGCCATGTCCTTCACAACACTTGTGGTTCCATAGTATATTGGCTCTTCACAAGCCAGCATCCTAAGACCACACCCACTTTTCATCCTGCACTGTTCTTTAAAGCACCTTGCAGCTCGTTGGATACCCAGCAAATACCAGCATGCCCCTACTGCCTGCACACAGTTCAAATTGATTAATTTTATAGGAACCCGAGAGAATTTCGTCGTCGTCGGAGCTAGGGAATGGAAAAACACTGCTGGAAATTATGGAATTTCTGACCACTGAAAATGATTTTAAATTAAGTCGAAAGTAAAAAGTGGTCGGAAATTGCAACAAAGATTTTTTCAGATACCAAAAGTGGTCCGAACAAGACTTTCCACTTGATTTAAGATCACTTTCAGGTGTTCAGAAATTTCATAATTTTCAGAAGTGAAAGATGACATAATAAACAATATAACAAAACATTTCCTTTGAAGGTTGCAAATTGTTTTTACGTACGTGGGAGGCAACAAAATATGCGATCATGTTGAGAGCGATCCCCCACCAGACGGTGCTGAAGATGTAGCCGGAGAGACTCTGCATCCGCCGGAGAATGCAGACGGAGTGGTAGATCTTCGGGAGGTATTGGAACAGAAACATTATTAACAAAACTGTCATCACTTCTGTCGTCAACCCTTTCTTCAGCAATGCTGGGATTGCCACCCACAACACTATCTGCACAAATATTATTTTTAATAATTAATAATCATTATTTATTATATTAGAATTCCCTTTTGCCTGTCCCAAAACAAATAATGATTAAAAAAAACACCCTTAATTTCGATCTCCTTTCCACATGCTAGAACTAAAAGAAGACAAAAATGTGAATCATGCGAAACAACACTAGTGAACTACAAAACATGAACATACTTGTCTTCTTGTACTACTACTACCTAACGTTGTCACAAAACTACAAGAAAATGAAAGGGGAAAATATTGATTACCATTTGGCGTGTATTGCATATTTATATTTATATTTTTACAATCAGCTAATGTTATCAATTACGTACTCAAATTTACTAACTCAATCAGCTAACGCTAATAGCTCATAGTTTAGATTTACCTGAGGCATGGGAAGGATAACAAAAAGATCAAATAGGAACCCCTTGGTAGCCTTCAAGAGTCGTACGGCGGCCGCCCTAGGGGTGTTGTCATGTAGTCTACTCCTGGCACCCATGATATGTGGCCGGCGATTAATCTTGAACTGCAGCCACATGTTCCAGAGGTATAAGGCGTCGGTCATGCAGCGGAGAACGGTGACGGTGGTGGCGAACCAGCCGTCGACGAAGAGGCACATGCAGTTGTCGCTTATGGAGAGAGTGTAGAAGAAGAGCGGGTCGACGAATAGGCCGGTGGCGCACACTAGGAGGAACACCCGGTTCCATTCCTGAACCCATGCGGCTCTAGGGTCCAACACCTTGCCGAAAACAGATCCCCCTCGGCGGCGGCCTCCGCAAGCGCCGCCGTAAATACTCCGGCAGTTGTATAAATTTTTCTCCTCTTGCTCATCGCCCCCGTCTTCGCTTTCTTCTTCTTCTTCTTCATCGTCGTCTTCCTCTTCTACACCATCGGTGTCGTAGAAATTATTGCTTCGTGAACGTTCAAATTCACTTGCCATTTTCACTAGTCTACGTTCTTCACAACTCTGATCTTTTCTGATCTTCTATTTTTTTTTCAATTTCGTTTTTTATATATATTTATTTTTGAGAGTGGGCAGAAGAGAGAGAGATGAAGTTTGCTAGAGATCGAGAATTGCAGATTGGTTTCTCTTCATAAGAGAATATATTCGGTGATATTATCCGGTAGGGATTAAAACGGTGACACTTTTAATTCTTCTGAGAACAAGACACAAATCATTGTACGCCTGTGCAGCATGGAGTTGGAGGGATGTGTAGTGAAGTTACTAGATTACCCCTATTGTTACTCATAGCCAAATAGCCAATGGTCCATATCTCTACATCACATGCAATTGGTTCGTACAAACTTTAATTAACTCGTAAATTCCAAATGAAAGAAACAAAGTTTTTTTTTTTTTTTTTTGATATACTCCATATTAATTCTAAGCTCTCAAAATCTGTCTATGAATCCTCAATACACCTTATTGTTGGAGTGCTGATTTTAGGTCTAGTGATCCACAATTAAGAGCTTCTCACCCCTGCAATGACCCTTTCTTAATTATTAGCCACTCCTATTATTTTTTTTTTAAATATTTTCATAAATTACTAGTGAATTGTTGATCGTACCATGAGTTAATAAAGAATCTACTTATCTAATAAAAAGATAACACATAAGGAAGTGATAATTATAAGCATTTCAACACAGTACATACAAAAATGTTAGTAATGTAATTGAGAAATTAAAAGTGAAATAATTGCTATCCATTTTTTTAATCCTACCTTATATGGTTAATTAAGGAAAGAATTACAGATGGAGAGAAAGAGACGGATAACGAAGGCTTCCATGAAGTTAGTTGTCTTTACACATATAACTTAGCGTGAACATTAAAAAAGGTTTGAAAGCTATTGACTCCATGTGGTATGCAAGAATTAATCATAGGCTCGCATGGGCAACTCAGTTAGTCACCAAATTTGAAAAAATGATATGAAATCAAGTCTTATCGGTGATCGTGTGGTAATAACCTCTCAAAGTAAGAGGCTCCTTGTGAACATTTTTCTAAATACATTGTCGGGTCAGGATGTGGGACCCTTAGGGTTGGAGATTCAATTTTTTATTTTAAGAATTACAAAGAATTAATCAGAGAGACCCTTTTGCTAAGAACGTATGGAGTATTAGAAATAGCTAGTTTGGTTATTCTTTCTACTTTTAAAATAATTTTCTCTCTGACAAACTCAATTTTCCAATCTCACATCAATACAATTAAAAATATATAAATAAAAGATTAGGTTATAAGTATGAACAATACTCTATTAGTTTGAGACATTTTGAGTAAGGAATAAAAAACAAATCTATGTAATCAGGACTTAAAAAGAATAGTATCATATCAACGTTTAGTTTACATGAATGTGATTCATGAGTACACTAACTCTCTATAGAAAAGTGAATTAAAATGCAGTGAGAAAACATGCAGGCAGGGAGGCCCATGCATTACTTATTACTTCATTCAATTCGGAACTCAAATTGGCATCCTAGAACAAAAGCTATCTATCTAGAGAGTAAAGATATGGGTTAGTTGCACTTCTTGTACAATTTACATTTCGGTGTAGTTTGCCGACAATTACATAGGAGCAGGGTTTATTCTGTGCATATTCTCGAATAGTAAATGTGAGTTTCTCTCGTCACCCAAAAAATAGAAATTCATTAGTAGTTTAGAATGCATCTGTTTAATTTAATTACTTTTTGTAAAAAGCTTAAACTGATCCAACCAACCCCATATCTACCATTTGATTTCATGACAAACGCATATCTCTTCCCCAAATCCCGCCGCTAAGTGGATTAATAAGACAATAATCATTTTTTTTAAACTACTGACTCTATTATATTATACTATGTGTTCATCTATACTTATCCCAATCTGTTGAAGCACAAAAAGTCAGTGCATGCCAATAGTATATAATGAGAGTACACATAGTATTTTTCATTAATTAATGTTGGCAACTTGGCACACGATGATGTCATATGATCTTGAGCTGCTATCTAGCTAGCTAATGATTTGAATGAGCAGACAAAAATGAAATCAATCAATAAATTCTTGGTAGATGATATTCAGCAGGAAGCTTCCTAACTTTGTCCACTTCTGTTCTCTACATAGTTATCAATATTTAGCCTCAAACAACTAGGCTTAATTAGTTCTTCCTGTTGATTTTATAGTCTCATTCTAGCTAATGTAAAGTTTGAATTTTACTTAAATCCATACTGCGATTCATTATTTATCTCCACCCAGCTCCCGTGACTCTTAAATTAGGCAAAAAAAAATTTAGAACTAGACTGGCGTAAATTTGGATATGGGATTAAAACCAAAGTAGAAGTATGAATGTTGTGAAGAGAGGATTGGGTGGATAACTAATAAATTATAAACTAAATAGGTTACTGACTTAGGTAGCGCCATCTTTGAGCAGGGTAAGGGCGGTTATTTTTTTTTGGTGTACTCAAAGTTTTCAAGGTCGCACACAATAATTAATTCTCTCGCTGAGTTGTAGGTATATTTTTGGTGGGACAGCTGGCCTAGAGATTTAAGATTGATCCATTTCTATAGTTAAGGATCGAAGATTTGACCTTTGGTTAAGGGTAAGGGCGGTTATGGTCATATGATGGAGTTCCATTTTTGAGACACGTAGACACACACTACATGCCCGCATTAACGCAGTTTCAACGCAATTTCGTATGTTTGTCTGTTAGTTTGCTAATTATTGTGTGCAATCTGCTAAAAAACATACATTCTTTGATCGTACATGCTGCATCAAATCGCATCATACACCTCACCCGATTCGTGCATTTTCGGATGTTCTGTGCACTTAAAAACGTATTATTATAAGAATAATAATAATAATTTAGCAACAAAAAATTGTTGGCCCACATAGCTAGCTACCCGATGGAGGAAATGAAATTGTGCAGGAAGCTTCGTTCGGCTTCTGCTTCTGTTCTTCATCACATCATATATATCGTTATCAAAATATGAATTGAAATTCCGTATGTAGCTTCAAATCTTTTCACTCATATTTGCTAGCTAGCAACATCAATAATCCTTCTAGATCTGGCGTGGTCATATATATATATATATATATATATGGGATATATAATAAACAACAACGAATATATATGTAATTGCAGAATATACACGGATCGGATGCATGCTGTGAACGAAGTAAAAGCTGCCCAAAAACACTACATTAATTCACAGGCCACTCAAAACGACCACAATCTGCCGGCAACCACACATCATCACATATCAATTTCATGAATTGTTGAGGACTCAAATTTTCTGTAAACACAGTTGTGTAAACCATAAGTACAAAATATATTTTTAATATATTAAAAACGTATATTATTTGTGTACTAAATATATATTATTTAAAAATATACAAAATAATGCACTTCTTTTACATAATATTTAGTATATTAAAATTTTTCTTTTTATATATGGGATGTTATGCATAGTACGGGAATACCCAACCGACTGCGTCGGGGGAGGTGGTTCTAGAATGTTCCGAATCTGGACTGGATTTATTTACAAGTATGATTTTATCAAGATGCACTTCAACAGCGGGGATAGCTCAGTTGGGAGAGCGTCAGACTGAAGATCTGAAGGTCACGTGTTCGATCCACGTTCACCGCATGATCGAATATGTTTTTTGACCGAAGACATTAAACAAAATGTTTACATTTTTTCAAATACGGAAACTCACTAAACGATCGATAATAGAGAGTTTGGACTTTGGAGTGGGAGGATTTGTAATTCATACTACCTACTATCATCACAGTACAACACATATTATATTGGTGAATAATGCATTGTGTGCCAAGAGTTTATATGTATTATGTTAAGAGTTTATGTATATTATGTTAAGAGTTCATGTGTATTATGTTAAGAGTTTATGTGTATTATACTATACAATTATGTACATACAAAACATGAAATTTTACATCGTGCACCTGGTGCATGATATAACACAATTGCACATAATCCTACTGCATCTCATTCACAAAATAACTGTGCAAGAAAAAGTGTACTGAATTAACTTAAAGGAGGGATGATCATCCATACACATTTAACAAAAAAAAAAAAAAAAACTGAATCTACAGTATTACAGGCAAGCTAGTTTAGTAGAAGATTCCTCCACCCAAGTATAGAAACCACTGAATATACACAACCACTCCTGAAGTTTCCTACAAAATCATACTAATCTTAATTAAACTGGTGCACTTCAAACCTTACTTCATCTATCACATACATTATATTCATACCCCTACAAACACAGAAGCAATATTATATTATATTATAGTTGCACTCATTTAGTCTTCAGCCCCCACCATGTCCTTCTACTTGAAGAAGAATTAGCTGCTGATTGCCTCAGTTTGCGTACTTTTGCCTTTGCCTCTGATAACTGCAACTTGTAAGATTTCTTCCAATTCTCAAATCTCAGCACCAGCCTTTTGAGTTCCTCTTCTAGGTTTGAAGGGAGTGACTGCCCTGCTGCTTTTACCTGAGAAATTGCTGTGGCCTCATTATCAAAATAATGTTTCCTTTGCTCGAACTCTCTTACAAGCTGATTCATTGCACCATTCATTTCTCTATTATTAGATTCCAAATTTACACCACTGTTAGGAAATTTGAGCGGAGTGCTTGCTCCAGAAGTCTGAAGTCCCAAAGACATAACGTCTTCAGAATCATAATAGTAAGGAGGTGGGGATACTGCAGCATTGTCAGAACTAAGATTCTTGGCTGCAGCAATACTTGCCTGCCTCATACAAATTAGTATATTAGCAAGCAAATACAGGAAAATGTTGTTATGCTTATATTGATTTACATGACATCATGTCTCTCACCTGCAAAGATGACCTTTTCTTCCGCCAACCCTCCTCCATTGAACTCATCTTGGCTTCATGTTCTGAACACCGTGCCTCGAATTGTTTTACTTGCTCTTTTAATGATGCATTCTCCTTTTCATTCTGTTCAATGGTAGCCTCAGCAAGAAGAACGCGCTTCTGAAGTTCTTCAACAACAGATGGTAAACGTTCTGAAGGCAAGTCCTGATAAAAATGTCAACAACTTACTGCAATAATAGATGTAGAAGAATGCACCAAAAAAGGGTTGCTACACTTTATTTTCCCGTAAGAGAGATCCTTCAAACACATGAACAGAGCTTAAACCTTTTGCCCCCTTTTTTCTTACAGGGACCATACATCACCCATCTGCAATCTTTATGTCATTATTATTCTTAAAGCAGCAATCTTCATGTTATTTAAGGCAAAGGCTTTTCAGTTGTCTCACTATGAGAAAATTTTCAATTGTTGTAGTCCTTGACCATAAATTTTATGGCAAATGCTTTCCACCCCTACAAAAAATTTTATGGCAAATGCTTTCCACCCCTACAAAATTTTGTACGGGCCTCTAAGCATGGTTCAAATTTTATTTGCTGTAATTTCCAATTATCCTATTTGGATGAAGATTGAAAAGGTTACAAATTTCTTTTAACAGAACTTTGAAATGGATTTAGGTGCCAGCCTATTGACAGACTCAAGTTAAGGAAAGAGATAAAATGATATTATTTGAACTGATTCTCGTGTTACATAGTACCTTAACCTCCAAAACCTTTCTGCCTGTTTCTTGTTTCTTAGAAACTAATGCTTGTGAATTCTGCTCGCTATAAAGATGTCTTCGAGCCAAAAAGCCACGAATTGCTGCATTAGGATACAAATTTGCAATTGATACTATATTCCATGGTAATAAAGGAAATGTCAAATGACTAAAACCTTACCTGATTGTATCCGTGTAGCCATGAACTGCTCATTATCATTTTTGCAAGCAACCGGAACTTTTGAATTCACCAAAGCATTACACTGCTTTCTGGCAATTTCACCACGAACAACTACAAGAAAGAACATTAATCAACACTATATCTCTGCAAACAATATGAAACTAAAGCCTGATTAAGATCCACTAAAACTAATGATAGTTTCCAAGACAGTTTATAACAGCATTCTGTCAATAAATTTAGAAATTCTTTCTCAGTATATTGGTTCATAAAGAAGCCTGGCAGATGGTAAATTTTAGAATCACCCTAGTGGCTTAACTTCTAATATCTTGGTTCTCTAAGGTTTTTTTAAACCAATAACAATCCAAAGCAGTAAGCCTTACAAGATTGAAGCATTACTACTCCTCGAATGATTTCATGAAAGTCGCAACCAGCACGATGATCATGAAAGAACTTTTGCAGTTCAACAGTATCTTCAAGAATTTTCTTCCTTGCATCCTCCAATGCAGCGATCTATGAGTTACAACAAAAGCTAGGTAATCAATACTCTATAATTTCATTTTGAAAAAATATTCATTTCTATTTTTAGTCATTTCTTAGTCCGTTGACTTAATTGAAGTCCAAATTGGTAGCATAGTCATCCCTATCAATTTGGACTGGATTGCATTCAAACATGACAAAAGCTCATATCTAAAAGGTAGATATTTTGTACATAAGAAATAAAATTCTGAAGACACTTGGAATTTCTTATATTTCTTGTTGGAAGTAGCTAATCTACTACACTCACTCAAAAACTAATGCACACACATATACTTCCAACTGTAATAAAGTCACTTGGCATAATGTTAAAAGGCAACAAGCTAGAATGCCATAGTTTACAAAGACAAACCCTAGAGAAAATGAATCCAAGAATGGAACATACTCCATAACTCATTGCTCACCTGTCCTGCTCGGAGATACAACTTGGTATACCCAACCTGGTACAATTCAGGAAGGACATTGAATTGCTTCAGAACAGCAACCACTGTACTTAAAGGATCTCGGAACACATTATTATCCAGGAGGAAACCATACCTAAAAAACACATGCACCCATGGATATAAGGGTACCTAACCAATTCAAAATAAGTGAGCAACAAAATAAAAGGTTAGGTACTCACCTATCTGCAAAATATTGATGTGTCATCTTAGTTGGATATCCAGATCTTGAAATCCTCACAGCTTCAAAAACCCCACTGTATCTGAGTTGCTGTAAGACTAGTTCTTTCTCGAATACACCAGGAAGCTGCTTATTGTTAGGCTTTATGCAACAAATGAAGTGTGGAGTGGTGTTATCCAACTGCCGCATTAATTGAAATAATTGAACCTGCAAAGAGATTTTGTTGATGCGTATATAAAGTTCATTAAACAAAAATTTACACATCAAAGTCTCTACTAGGTCTATTAAAAACAACTCTCAATGGCCTCAAACATCCAGTGAAGTGTGCAGCTTGAAACAAATCATACACCAATAATTCGCATTAGATATTCTCAATAGTGTATCTGTGGAAGAATTAAGAAAATGAAACAGAACTCATTACCTTAAACTTGGTAACAACGCTTTGCTTCTGAGGATACAATCCATCAAGCAGAATTGGACTCGATTTCTGAGATTGATCAAGTAAAGAAGTGGCAAACAGCTTAGGAAGGCGGGAACTGCATGATGAGAGTAGCTGAATAATATCAGAATGCAGTACATCTCTGTTCTTTTCCGAGAAACCATTGTTGTCATAGAGAACCTAAAGAAAAAAGAAGGAAAAGTTTCAAGCATTCATAAACCATCAAAATACCTGGCATTTAACATTGAATGCCATGTTATTTATTTATTAATTTCAAAAAAAAAAAAAAAAAAAAAAACATCAATACATGTATCGCTTTTCCATTGAATTATACTTTTAAGACATTGGCAAAGAAATATCAAATCCTGTCACCTATGCAAACAACAGAGCAGGCCTTTTTAACAATCATATTTACATATTTGCCTGCAACTGCCTAACTAGGAGAAAATTGGTGACATATAAAGTGCCTAATCACAAACTAAATTTACACCTGTTCATCCTTAAAGACACAACCAGTCATAATCATAATAAGTACAATACAAATCACAATAAGTACAAATCCTGTCACCTATGCAAACAACAGAGCAGGCCTTTTTAACAATCATATTTACATATTTGCCTGCAACTGCCTAACTAGGAGAAAATTGGTGACATATGAAGTGCCTAATTACAAACTAAATTTACACCTGTTCATCCTTAAAGACACAACCAGTCATAATCATAATAAGTACAATACAAATCTGTTATAATCTAAGATTAGGCCAAAGCCACTCAACTGGGTTATAATGCACATGAGCCAAACCACACTAAAATACCAAATCCAATCAATTAGCTAGTCTAACCCATGGCCTTATAAACACATATATTCTCTCTGACTTTTTCGATGTGGGACTCTTAACAAGAATAATCCAAATTTGTCTTAGACATAGTTCCAAGTAATTGCATTACTGCAAGGATTCCCCAAAGCAATTAACAAAGCTTAACTGCAATGATAAGCAAATCTAACCTCTCCAGCATAATGTTGAATACTAAATGTCCCTTCTCGTTCTTTAAAGCAGCAATTTTCTTTCAGTTGCTGCTTAAGTTTATTGGCAAAGCTTAAATCATTAGCTTCAAGGGAATTTGATTCTTCATCAAGTAAAGAGATAAGCCCAATGTGTTTCTGCAAGTGCATTGCAGAAGTCAAAAATCAACCAACAGTCAAGTTTAGCACCTCACAAATGGATAAATAAAGTTGGAAAAAGGGTAGGAGTAGAAAGAGGGGGTGGAGGATGCATGTTCAAACATGAATCAAATCAAGATTTTAAATCAATTCAATAGTATAATTGAGGATTCCAGGCAAACTGACAATGAAACTGATACAGCACTTAAGTTAAGACCCTAACTCCACCACAAAAAGCTACTAGCTCAAGAGTGGAGGTTTGACCCCAACTTAAGTACCACTCCACAATCTCTTGTGGAGCCGATGTGGGATCGTATCAGAAACTCCTGCTGCATTGTGAGATGAAAATAACCAATCACCAAATAGGAAAAAAAAAAATACCTTCTCAAAAAGATCTAAACACTCTTGATTGTCTTTAAATTCTACTCTCGTCCAATCAATTCCATCCAGCTCATATACCTAAATCAAAGCAAGCCATCAGTGCTCACACTATGCAAGAATCTAGATAAAAGACCATCTGCAAGGTTGAATCCAGCACAAATGGAATAAACAATAGGTAAGACATTAGATTGTTAAAGCATAAAAGCAAACCCCGACTTCTTATCAGTATACATGGAGAGAATTCCTTAAAAGTCCTTGGATACTACTTCTTACTTTAAACAATATACACACACACTTCAAGGAGAATCCAACACCCATACTATAGCTGAGCATTCACACAATCAGGTACTGCCATGATTACCTCTTGTTCAAGTTTGAATAGATGACGATTAAAATGCTGCTGAAGCCTCTCATTTGAATAGTTTATGCAAAACTGTTCAAAGCCATTATTCTGAAAAAGGACAAATAAATTAGTCTCTTAGGAAACTGATATGTTCTACAAAAGATAATACCAAAAATTAGCAGCTCAAGAAATCAACTTTACCTTAAATGATTCAAAACCATAAATATCTAGAATACTTATGGATGTGTATGTATGGTCTTTCCCCGCTGCAAGAGATTTATTAATCTCATCTACTAGCCAATCAAACAAGCTTCCATAGATGGATTTTGCCAATGCATCTCTCGTATCAATTGCCTGAATTGAATCAGGATGCATTCTGTTATGCTGCTTTACAACTGAACAGATTACTGGCATTCATAACAGAGTAGACATTAATTTTAGCATACCTGTTGTATTGTTAACCTCTGGGCAACCTTCTCCTGGCTAGCTTGTACTCTACGGGATGATAAAGTGCATATGAGGTCCTGGGCACTGCAACCTATCAAGCTAGCAGCATTGGTAATAGCTGCATATAATGGAGAAAGAAACAGATGAGCTTTGACAGCTTCCCATAAGAATCCAGATAAACTAATTAAATCTAGGCATGTCCCTACACTGAGAAGTGAGAATATTAATTTGCTGATTATGCTCATGTCTAGTGCAATCACAAATAAGAAAGAAACTCATTCTAATATTGCATTGCAATAAAAAGCAACAAAGAGACCAAGAATAAACCCTCACACTCCCCTCCCTGCTCCCTCCCTCCTAAAAGTGGTAGTTGTAGCGATAGACGATAGTAGTAGTAATAATAATAACAACAAGCTTACCTTCACCCGACACAGCTTCAACATGGTTTTCATTGTCAATCACTTCAAATGATATATTTCCCAGCCATAATACTGCAGAGAGCATCTGAAAAACTCTCTCTTGATCTTCTTTGCAAATCTTGACGGTGTTTAGGGCTTCCTAATGAAACAGAATAATGCCATGTTAATTAAACAATGGAATCTAAAATGAGTTAAACCACAAACGAGGGATATATCTAATCTCCTTGATCACCATAAGCATATGAAACTTTTTAGCATCATCAACATCATTTAAAGCCAAGCAGTCACTTTGGGTAAGATAATTGTACTCAGTTGCCCCTTTTATCTTCAGCTTATCTGTAAACATGGCAAATCAAGTGTATGAGTAGGTACAGCATATTAAAGCTGTAAAATATTTGTTGGTTTTTTTTTTTTAATTTATTGGTTTCTTTCTTTATCAAAAAGAAGAGGGGAGGGTGTGAATAAACCTTACTAAGGCTTATTGTTAACCCCAAGCACCAAACCTAAAGCATATAAAATACTGGAGGATTAACCAGCTTGGTTGGCGTGAGTGGCCGTGCACTCTCATCCCTTAAGAGAGGTCAGGAGTTCAAACCCCTCTTGTATGGAAAAACCAATCTGGCCAAGGTGCCTCCTACAATTAGGGCTTGCTCAGGACACCTCGTGATCTACCCAAATAAAATACTGGAGGATTTGAGATTTAAAAAGAGAGAGAAGATAAAATTTCACTTTTACAGGGCGTTTGGTTGAAGGGAATTTAAATTCCCTTCCCACTTAATTCCCACCTAATTCCAAAGGCCACAAAATTCCCTTGTTTGGTTGAAAGGAATTCCCCCATTTTCATGGAATTAAAATCCCATGTCCCCCCCCTGGATTTTAGGAAGAAAAAAAGATAGTGATGAGTCAAAATTACCCCTTCCTTTTTTAACCTAAAATTAATGCATGACAATAACAATGGACATTTTGGACTTTATACTACTTATTCCCTTTCAATTCCCATGTATACCAAACATTGGAATTGAAATTTCCAGTAATTTTATTCTTGTAAACCAAACACTGGAATTTAAATTCTCACTTTATTCCCAGTAATTCATCTCCCATGGAATTGCAATTCCTTTCCCACGTAATTCCCCCTCTCCAACCAAACGCCATGTTACTCCTGTTAGTCTCACAACTATGGTGGCATTGCCACATTTCATTGACTTTTTGGTAAGGGAGAATTGCACTTTTAATCCCTGAATTATAGGTTAATAGTAAATTTAGTCTCTGTATTATAGGTGTCACCACTTTTAGTCCTTTGAGTTGTCAATAAAGTGACACTGTTGGTACTCCTGTCAAATTTTACCATTAATTTTTAAAAATCTTAGTTGAATAAAGCTAGAAATGAAATAATGTAAACCACTAACCTCTATTAGACTAATAGCAAATTAAAAAATCAGTGTAATAAAGGTCAATGATCTAAGTTTCTAGCCACTAAAGTGTGGAGTTGGAGTGTTATTTAGGTGACAAAGAGAAATAGAATGTAAAATTCTATTAACATCTCTAGTCAACTAAAATTTCTGGAGAGTAACAAAAAATTTTGACAGATTCATTAATAGAAGAACCAAAAGCACCACTTCACTAACAATTTGAGGACTAAAAGTAAAGACGCTCATAACACAATAAATAAATCCACTGTTATAGTATAACTCAAGAACCAAAAGTGCAATTTTTCCTTTTAGTAATTTACAATCTTAGTCTCCTCTTCTTGTTGAAAAAATGTTCATAAACAATATTATAATAATAATAATTTGGTAGAGTTTCTTATGACAAATTAGCATTTTTATATGTTATATTATTTATTATGTTGTTTATGAGCATTTTTAAGTAAGAATGGAATATTAAAATTGTGAAATTACCATATTATCCAAAAATTAAAGCTAATTGGATGAAAATTGAAACAAATGACTAAATATGGTAATGTTAGAAATGTCAACAAAATTGTGGGACTACAAGATATCCCAAAAATTAAAGTTAAATGTGGTATTGTTGATTAAATGTGGTAATGACAGTAGTTAGTTATGGGAAAATGGAATTTCCTCAAAGAGAGGAAATAGAAGTTTAAAATGAATATCTCACATCTCATTGTTAATTGCTGTGGAAAATCCTTATACTGTCTAAAGTTACTAAGCAATGATAGTGATTAAATTCATTAATTATTGATAATACTAAACCAGAAGGCACTCTAAATTAAGGGATTTTTCCTCTTGGAAAGAAAGAGCTGTGGTGGAAACAAAGGGTTCTAAAGTTGAATCCAAACCTTTGAGACCAGATGGAGCCCCAGCACAAAGCTGGTAAAAGATATGGTATGACCTCTCTCCCTGAGGCAGTTGAACCACTCTTGACTGCAAATTAGACATTGTGTTGACAACAGAATGAGCTTGTCACATAATTAATACACAAAATGACAAAAGTTATCAGTAAAAAAACAGAAAGAAGAACATCCACCTTTTCAAGAAGAACTGCTCAACATATTTAGGACATCAATATGGCATGCAAAAAACACAGAAATTTTAGTATGTGCACACAGTAATCATTAAAAAAATTCTTGACCAACTAGTCGATGTAGGTGTGCTTACAAGTCTGTACTTTGGCACCACATAGTTTTCCTGTTGTGTCAAAATGAATCTCAATTAATTTTCCCTACAGAATATCAGAAGCATCTGTCAGTCTAACAGCATAAGATTGCCAGTAATCATGGAATATTCTATAAAATTATGCAGCTATCAAACCCAATATAACTTACAAAACGACTGGAATTGTAATTCCCATGTGTTTTGGCATTTCCAAATGCCTCTAGTATACAACTTGTCTGCTGCAGTTTAGACTCTATCTCTTTGCTAACTTCACCAAGTGCAGCCAAGTACTGTATAGCAATTTTTGCTGTTTCTGTCTTTCCAGATCCAGTTTCTCCACTACAAGATAAAATGTCAAATTATTTTTTTACCAAAGGGCATAGATTCAATAATGCATATCAACAGATGAGAGATAACTGAAAGCACATCAGTATATCAGCAAAGCAGCCCCCACAACTACTGAAACCAAAGTGAAGAGATTAACAAACCTGACGATGACAGAATGATTTTTTCCATCTGCATAGTACACATTAAAGAACAAAAGAAGTAAGGGCAATTTTTCCCAAAGTTAAACATGGCTAAGAATGAACTTTGATATTATATACCACCTTCCATCATTGCAGTGTAGGCTGTATCAATAGTAGAAAACACATGAGGACTACTCATCTGCTTTTGCTGGTAAGCCGTAACAAATTCATTCCCATGCATGTCAACATCACTTAAGGGGTTGACTGCTATTAAAAGAGGACCTGCCTTGCTCTACAGGAGCAGTAAACAGAGAGAAAATTAAAGGTGGGCGCACATACAGTTATAAATAGGTATTTTGATCTTACATACATATATTGCTCCACAAGAATATCGATGTTGAAAGTTATGAAGAACTGATGGCTCATTCAGATAACTTAGTTGTATCAGATCATCAACCCCATCAAGAATATCTGGATTTGCAGGTAAGATCTCTCCAGTGGGAACTTTCATGACCTAAAATATTAAAGTCATCTATAAGTGACCACATCTTCTGTATACTAAACTCTTTGAGATGTGACTACTCACAAGTAACAATAGGAAAAAGCCAATGAAAAAAACTCACATTTCCATCTGAAAACAATACAGAAGCTATTTCTCCTGTAGTTGAATGTATTGTTCCTAATTTCCACTGTCCATTTTGTTCATGACACCAAATACGAAGTTTCTGAAACATAAAGATAATTGGTTCAGTTTACGACCAATTCACCAAATACATCAAGGATGTGAACAAGATATTGAAATATTGGATAATGACAAGGAGATAAACCTTAAAATATTAAAAATTGACAACAACGATCTATGCAATAACAAAGCTCACCAGACTAAGGTGATAAACCTTAAAATATTAAAAATTGACAAAAATGATCTATGCATTAATAAAGCTCACAAGACTTTTGGATGACTGATAAACATATTACATCCCCCATTTAATAGACTTCAAAGAAATGGCCCCCACCATATTACTAGCAGCAATTTTCATATTATGATTTTATCTTTGGGAACATTCAAAATTAGTTTCAGCATTGTCTGTGTTTTAGAATCAGAGATAATAACTTGGGCTTTCTTAAAGGCAGCAACATACCTTATCCATGGTTTCCCCTTTCCAAAGCCTACTCTCTTCTAACCAAATTTCACAATACATAAGGAATTATTCCCACCCATGTGTGTCGAAGCACCAAGGAGGTAAACAGTGCAAAAAAGGCAAGAGAAAATTAAGGAGTACTACTTTTTAAATAGTCAACAATTTACACCAAATAGTACCAACTAAAACTCAAAGCAGACTATGAAGTCCATGAAGACACCAAAACATTATTTATTTGCAGCTAATTTCCTGGATTTTCAAGTTTCATATTGTTCATCCATTTTGTTAATGTATAAAACAGAATTACAAATTGATCAAAGCCTTACTGAACTCTAGAGAAAATGTTTACATTTAAACCTTAACAGACACTCAGAATTCCTCAGAAGAAATCAACAAGCACAAAATGGATGAATATATTTTATTTTAGAGTGTTTATTAACAAACATAATAAATTAAATTTATTTATTAAAAAAAAAAAAAAAAAAAAAAAAGTACGTACAAACACAAAGAGAAAATATTTTTGTTTTACCTCCTTGATGAAATAATCAATGGTGTCAGTCCACTCGTCCTCATGAGACTTCGGGAGAAAACGGGGAGATGAATTTGCAAGCTTCAAACCAACTCTTCGCTCCAACATCCGTTTATGGTCGTTCCCTTGTGGTGGCATGCCGTAAGGTGATTCGCTCAGGTCCATTTCCATAGCTTTCTTAGCCCCGAAATTGTTCCCTCTGAAGTCTCCGAAATTGTTCCCTCTGAAGTCTCTAACATTTTCTTTCTTAGAATTACAATTCCATGAGCTACTGAGTTCAACATCCGCTGTTTCCAAGCTTCTCGGCAACGGTCTCTTGACGGATGGTGGCCTAGTCCTAGGTGTGGATTTTGGGCGAGCCGGCAGCTCCGGCGGCAAGTCTTTTGGCTTATCATATCCCGTTCTACGCTGGAGAGCCTCCAGCATTTCTTCGAGCCGGCTCCGAGATAATGCGGAAGGCGAAACGGATAACATCTTTTCGGGTAAAGAAATCAGGGAAAACCTCTTCTTTGAAATTATAATTCAACACGAATCATAACCAAATATAGGTGCTCCCCGAATTCGAACAATGCCTGGGGGGAAGCATTGCTTGAAACCACGACAAAACCCCTAAATCTAACAACTATCCCGGAAAAAGCCGCCGGAAATGGAAAATCTGGCGTTGTTCTTCGTGTACAGAGATCCAAATTCCTAGGAGAAGGCAATTTCACAACAAGAAACACATCTAACGTTGCATGTGAGAAAGTGAAAATCTCTTGAGCTGGCAACGCTTGGTTTCTGTAATGAATTCTGAATGAAAGGGCCAAAATAAAAAGAGAAAAGAAAAACAACGGTGTTTCAGAAATTGAAGTTAAAATTTCCCAGGCTGAACCGGGAACGCCTAATCCTCCCAAAGGTTGAGTCACTCGGGAGAAGTTAGAAACAAACCCTCCACCCTCCGGGGAAGAGAAGGAGGAGAGAATATTTGAAGAATAGATGAGATCAATAATGGCAGAAACAGAAATTATCTCATGAAGAAGAAGAAGCTCTCAGTTTTTTAAGGCTGGTTTGCCTTGTCCCTTATTGTCTTTTCCACAAGTCACATGACAAAATTAATTATAACACCCCCCCCCCCCCCCCAAAAAAAAAAAAAAAAAACCGAAAATATATTTCTATATTTATTCAGGGGAAATGGGCGACGTGAGGAACAATTCGGGTGGAAACCGTTTGGATGTGATAGGTAATAAAATACGTTTGACCTGAACGTTGATTAAAAAAAAAAAAATCAGACTTCATTTTAATTCAAATTTTATTACTCTAAAATTTATTATGGAGCAATAATTAAGCGTATTTGACACTTTGACACACCAATTAGTTGCTTAAATGTATTGTTTATTTAGTCAAAGGGTAGCTTTTATTAGTTTTAGAATGGTTGGTAAAGCTATTTTAACTATAGTTTAATTCGTGAAAAATTAACTACCAATAATTTTTAAATGTTATCACTTTCCCTGGCCTTTATATATCACCGAATTTGTCAAATAAACTAAATGAAACATTGAAACACTGATGAAGAAAAATTAAAATTTCATATTTTCCCATTATATTTAAACTTTTTTTTTTGATCCATAACTAATAAAATATTAACTAAAAAAAATCATCATTTCAAAAAATAACTTATGGGCCAAAAATAGAAAGGGTCATATGAAAAATTGAGTCTATATTTTGAATATAATTAAGGATCACATATGTCATCTTGTAGAATTTTTAAAAGTAATTTCAGGATAATTTCATATTTTATTAATTAAAATAATAAATGTTGGTTTTTAATAGAAATTGAAAAAGAAAAAAGAAAGGCAGAATGAAGAATATAAAACAATTTTTATGTCTAAAAGGGCATTATTGACGTTGTTAGGCCCCATTTTAGTTAATTAGTTTGGAAGAGATTATGGGTTGAAGTCTTCCCTTAAAGGTGCCTTTGTAGCTGTTTGCCATTATCAACCCAAAAAGGAAGTAGTACTGAAAGGGAAATTATATTATTGAAAGCAATAAAGTGGATATGGTATCTAGTTTAAACTTTAAACGGATAATTTTTTTACTTTTTGTAACTTAATTATACTAATAATTTTTATCATTGAAATTGGATAAACATAAACTACTCAATTTATAACAATAAACAAAGTATTAGTTAGCTCAATACCGAGAAGTCAAAAATAACTTTATTAACATGAAACTTTACATAAAATATTCATATCAGAATTTTATTTTTGTAAAAATAAATAAATAAAATCATTCAGTGTATCCTTTATTTACTCTTGAGGGACAAATGGAACTGTAGAAATGCCCCATTTTAGTTGTTCCTATGAAGTTTGAAGATGTAGCCAATTTGTCCATAATAGCATGCAAAGTGTTAGCTACTGTATCACCTGTACTATATAACTACAATGTATATATATACAAAGGCTAGCTTACCAAAATGGTGAAGATTTCTGTTTTTGACAGAATCCACAACACAAATCTTACTTGTTCCAGACCAGGTCACCTGCATTGCCAACTTATTACTTGTTAACACAAATCTTACTTGTTACTTTTGGGTGTATGTCAAATTATATATATTAAATATTTATTGTACATTCATTAAATATATTATAATTAATATAAATTTACAATTTATTTAATTTTTTTAGATTAAAAGAAAAATCAGCATTAACATTGACAACAAAAGTACTTGGTAGAGAAATTCAAATGAATTATAAGTAGAAAAATGTTATAAAATTATAAGTAGAAAAAAAAAAAGGAATTGATCTTCTTCTGTTCTTCACCGCCACTGGCTTCAGTCTTCACACTTCACTAGCAGTAGCAGCCTGCCTTACTCCTGTGCGCCATAGCCCGCAGCTCCGCGCCTCCGACTTAAGCTATCGGTCAGAAACTCCGTTGACCGTCGTCAGTCGTGAAGCAGCAACTCCTCAGGTTCGAATGATCAAATTATTAACCCTAAATTCTTAATACATAAATCCCTAAATATGATTTGTCAAAATTAATTTGTGACTCTGCGTTTTCTTCATTTGTGTTTGGGTATTTGAATTATTGGTTAAAAATTATTTCTCGAAGACTGAATTGAAATTCAAGGTATTTTGCTCCCTCTAAGAATTTCAAAGGATATTGCTTTGCCATTGCTTAATTGCTTTCTCAATTGACAGCTGAGTTCTGACAGAATTTTTTGTGATACTAGAATATGGACCTAGCTAAATCTTCTTTGGTTATTCCCCTTTATATGATAATCTCCTGTTATTATCTACCCAAACTAACCCTTGTTTGATGATACTTTTGCTTCAAATATGGACTTGACATTTAGTTGATAGGGAATTAGTGCAGTTGGAGAAAAGTGTCTGTTCTTTTTTATTGAGAAATAGGGGTGAGTAAAGATGTGAGCGAGCTAATTAGTCTTCCCTTTTTTATGATTGTACACCCAGATTGACGTATGAAGTTAGGTTATTTTTATATAAATTAAGGTGCCCTACATGTATATGAATATATAATTAGGCTGTGTATTTACTTCCTTTAGGTCACTTGTTGCTGAAAAGTTGTGTGTAGTCTAATTACTGAATTGTGAATTGTTAATTGTAATTTATAATTTATTTTGTATTAAAACCATTTTATCATTGTTTGATATCTTGTCATACACATTTTTGAATTTCTTAAACTTTGCCCCTAATCACCTATATTCTTTGCGCCGCCTCTGCTTATTTGACGCATGAATGGTTATTGGTTAGTCGGTTATACTTCCATACTGAGCATGCACACAGTAAGTTGATGCTTAATCTTAAAGTATTTTGTTTCAGTATTGGATAAAGCTAATTCTAATTTGTTTTGTAACCAGGTTTTTACTTTGAGATCTTTCAAGATTCTAAACGAGTTCCAGACATCACTGTGAATGTTATTTGGAGTTTTCAGGAGGGGAAAAAATGTTTCTTTTTGCATCAAGCCCTAAGTTCAACCTTGATTCTCTTTCATCACTCTGTGTTAAACAGAGACATCATTGTAATTCTAGCCATGTCTCTGTTTTGAACTTGTTATTCTCATCGTCTTTGAAACAATGCCAAACTCTGAACCATGTTAGATGTTTCGCTATCTCGAGGGAATCTGAGCAATCTGATACAAATGTTCATCAGAAAGATAATTCAAGGCCTAAAAAAACTACAAAACTGAAGATAACCAAAGGTTCAGAAGATGTGGGTAAAGAATCTAGTGAAATCTTCCCCACTACAATCCCTAAAAAGCCGAGGCGTGGTCGTAGGAGTGAAGCAGCTGCAGTTGAGGACTTTGTGCGTGATAAATTGGAACAGACATTTGCGTCTATAAGGGGGCAGAATTCAGATATCATGAAAGACAAAGACAAAGGAAGTATCATGAAAGATAGCGTGGTTGAAAGTCATGATACGGATTGTAGTAGTGATGAGAGTGATGAGGATGACGTTGACAATCAAACTGAAAAAAAGATGTTAGTTGAGGAAGAGGATCCAGATTGGCCACTAGATGCTGATGTGGGTTGGGGAGTTAGAGCATCAGAGTATTTTGAGAAACATCCAATTAAAAATACTGTAGGAGAAGATGGTGTTGTAGTTAACTGGGAAGGAGAACTTGATGATTGCTTGGTGAAGGAGATCAATTGTCTTGAGTGGGAGAAGTTTGCTTTTCATCCCAGCCCTCTGATAGTTCTTATTTTTGAGAGATACAAAAGGCAAGTAACTTTAGACTCTGCTAATATTGCGCTCCCTCAGAATCAAGTATTTACATGCTGAAGTACTTAAATTTTCTCTAGGAAATTAGTTTGTCCGTATGAATCTCTTTTTCCACAAAAGTAATTTTAATTCATCATTTCATCACAGTGCGAGTAAGAACTGGAAAGTTCTGAAGGAGCTAGAGAAAGCAGCTTTGGTGTACTGGAAGGCCAAAGATCGATTGCCTCCTCGGGTTTGTTGAACATACACACTTTTCCATTTGTTATTGTATCTGGCCATTTACAGTTCATTTTTATATTAAGTGAAAAACTAGATATTAACTACTATATTTTCTTATTACTGAACAGACTGTAAAGATAGACATCAATATTGAGAGGGATTTGGCCTATGCTCTTGATGTTAAAGAATGCCCACAAATATTGTTTTTGCGAGGAAACAAGATAGTGCATAGGGAAAAAGGTATTCTCTCAATATCAATGTAATCAGTTGACTAGTTGAGTGACGACACTACTATGCTATTTCTAATTTCTAACATGAACATAAATGCCATACAGATATGCGAACTGCAGATGAGTTGGTTCAGATGATAGCACATTTTTACTACAATGCCAAAAGGCCTGCATGCATTAACGATTTGGATGTATCTCCACCATTTTAATCAAAGGATGGTATTTTACCAGTCCAGATCAATTCAGGATTTTTGTCCACTGTAATTTCAAGGGGAGTTACTGAATTCATCTAGCAATCACCCGAAGATTCCAGGGAAAGATGTATGAATATACATCATTCAAAGACTAGGCTGGCTCGGAAAAGAGAGGTTGGAATCAAAACAGTTATCAACACTAGACTGGCTCCCATCTATTTTCTGAGAGTGCGGGGGAAAAGCGAATCTCAGGGTACATCATAGAGCTGTATTCTCAGATGCATGAACCATGTATGATATCATGTATGTATACCTAAAGATTTGTCAAGTTTTCATTTGATGCATGTTGAGGACCTTAAACACAGAAGAATGGCACTAAAAAAAAAAAGTTTTGCATAATAGCATGCAAAGTGCAATCTACTGGTTCACCTGTACACTATATCACTAGAATATATATACAAAGGCTAGCTCACAAAGTATGTTTTTGCTTTTGACAGAATCCACATCCAATCACAATATAAATGAGCAAATTATTCTGTGGACTTGGGTCCACCTTGCAAGGTGGATTCGGGTCTAAACATACACAATTTATCTTTTAAAAATTTACAATTTGTAATGATCATATATTATATTCACAAATTTTTAAAACATAGAAACACAATTTATATTCTAAAAATTTACAATTTCAATACTAAAAATACATAATTTAGAATCATAGTTCATCTTGCAAGGTGGACCCTAGTCCATGGTATAACAACTTATATAAATGCTACTTGTTCCACACCAGGTCCCATGCATTGCCAATTTGCCAACCAGTCTTGTACCAAATCTTACATTGTCAGTGGGTAACTTTAATGAACTAATTTATTGCAAATTTTATGCATTTATGGTAGTCAATTAATATAAAATTGTGACATGTAGCATTTTACTTTTTATTTCACACCAAATTTAATAAATATTGATGGCTTAAAGTTTAAACTTTAGTAAGATCTATTGTATTTATAGTTAAAAAAAAAAGGGGGGGGGGGATTTAAAACTCATTGATTTGTTTATAGTAATGTTTATGTATCACTTTCTTATTAAGATAATCAACATTCTTACTAATATTAATTTAATAAGTAGTTAACAACCGTTTTATTAATTAATAATGCAGAAACAGTGTTTTATCGTTTACCATTATAAATTTAAAGGTATTTTTTTTAATTGTTTACTTACTCTAAAGCCACTTGGTTGTATTTGGAATTAAATTTCTAAAAAATTAGGGATAATTTAAGACTTGATTTTGAATAAATAAAATTTATTAATCTATATGTCACTGAACTTGTTTATTATCATGAATCTAAATTTTGACATTCTATTTACAATTAAATAGAATTTTTATTATAAAATAGTAAGATAGTCTAGTATGGACAATATAATATTAAGTTTCATATCACCATAAAAACAGTTTAAAAAGTAATTTTATTATAAATTTAACGAAATTAAAACTAATTAAATACATACTTGAATATATATTTCAAATACTTTGACAAGAAGACAATTAAAACAAAAAAGAGAAATGTTTGAAAAGATTAAAAGATATTTATTTAATTATATTATTTTATATACGGAGTAATAAATATATTTAATTATTTATAGGTGTATCTATTTATTAATTAATAATCGGATGAGGAGTTGTGGGCCCTAACCATGATTAAGGTAACATGGACCCGAGAATTTAGGGCAGTTAAAACAGTGAGAAGATGACGAAATGGATAATTGCACAACTAATCCAGAAGTGGGCCAGAGGCTTACCTAATCACCCACCAATTTTGGATCTTAATGCATGTTAGTTAGTTTATGGGTTCAGCATTGTGACCTCATCAATTTTATTAACCTTTCAATCTTTCTGTTATGTATCCTTTACCTATTAATCATCATAACATTCAATTTCATTCCACTAAGATAGTAACAAAATGTTTAATTCATGAAATATATTTTTTTTAAGAAGATAAATAATATTTAAAAATCATAAAATATAATACTCCGAATATAATATGAATACAATTATACTATTTGATTTATAGATAAAATTGAAATAAATTACAATAGGAGGTAAGGTAGGGTAGTTCATTTTGACAGCTCTAGTTTTTTAACATTTTATTTTTGTAAAATTTTATTGTGCATACTTTCATTTCTTGGATCACATATTTACATTTAAAATTTGGATATGAGTAAATTTAGAAATACTGGTAAAAAATTTCCTTTTCAGCGAGGAGTAACCTTTATAATATGATGCAATATTTTATTTGAGTTGTCGGGTGCATGCGTAGTGGTAGCATTGTAGTGTCTTTTCAAATGGACTTTGTTGAATTTTCAACGACAGATTAATACTCCGTATAAATTGGTGCATTGTGGGGCATTCCCTTCCTTCTGGGTAATCCAAAGACCAAGGCAATTGGGCAATTGCAACTTGGAAAGTCATAGAGACTAAAATAGCACCTTGTATTAATCTATTTGTTGTGTCGGTAAAATCAGAGTCAAACTTTATCTATGACAGAGCCTGACCACTCAGGTACTAATGTTTCATAAATTTGACTTATAAAGTTTTAGGACCTAAAAATTTGTAAAAGATATGTGAATTTTCAATACTATTTAAAATTTTAATAATATTTTCAATAAAATTTTATAATTTGTTATTGGATGTCCTAATCAAATAATGTAACTAAGTGTTTTTTTTTTTTTTTTTTTTTTTTTGGATAAGACTTGTCAATAGTGTTTGGAATTTAGAAATTGCAAATTAATGTAGAATATGAAGTGAGGAATGTGCATGAGTGTTGTTTGACAATAATTGAAGATTTGAAGCGTGATTTTGTGGTTGTAAGGCATTTGCATTTTGCAGTAGAGCAAAACCAAGGGAAAATCGAGAAGGGGAAAGAAAGCAAAGAAGAGTTGATGCCTATCTTTCCACTTCAGCTTTTTGTACCCATTCTTTTGTGCTTCTTTATCACAGACAACGACATTAACTTTAGTGGTATCATAATTTTTGAGCATTTTTTTCAAGTGTTTTGAAAAATGATATAATTAATCCTAACAACTCATTGTTGAAATGGACTTGCCATTTTTGGCTTGGACCATTTGATTTAAAGACTTTTTGGATTAATTGAAACTCTTAAGAGAGGTGTCTTACATTTATGCATTGTATATAGGCAACCTTTATTAAAATTGAATTAATATTAATTCCTAAAGTCGACTACACTTTACAATAATTTGTAATTGATGATTTTTATCAACAAATTATATTGTGCATCTCAAGATTCACTTTGTAAGGTGGGTCATGATACAAGTTCATTTTCAATGTCCTATAACATGACGTTTGGTTAGAAGGAAGGAATTCAAGGAAAAATAATTGTAATTCGGTGGGAAAATAATAAAGCTGAAATCAAGTAGGAATTCAAATTACATGGTTTGGTAAGGAGGAATAGAATTATTAGAAATTGGAAAGGGAAAAGTGATATAAATACAAAAATGTCCTTGTGTAACAATAATAATCATCATCATCAAGGGTAAAAGGGTCATTTCCTTATCTTTTTTTCTTTCTTTCCCAACTGCTCCAAATGGGTGGGGGGGAGGGGGGGGGGGTGTGGTCCAAGAATTCCAATTCCACAAATGGAGCGCAATTCCTTCCAATCAAACACTGTAATTCGGGTGGCAAGAGAAATGTGTTGTAATTGAATTGCAACTACATCCGACGAAACAACCCATAAATTCATTTTTAATAGGTCCATTATATTTTAATATAACTTCATTTTTTTTAATGCTATTGACTCTATTACATTGTACTTCGTAATATATGTTCAAACATACTTCCTCAACATATTGAAGCACAAAGAGTTAACAACGCCTCCAGTGAGGCTCGATCTCATGACTTCCCATATGGGAGAGGTCACTACATGCCATCTGAGCACAAGGTACTTGACAAATTCATTGTTAATGTATTGCAAGTCAAAATGAATCTATAATACACTAAAAATGAACATGTATCAAATATCCATTATACTATGTCAACTTGGGGCAAATTATGCTATGCATAGTGCACACGGATGCAAAAACGGCGTCGTTTTACTTAGATAAAAAAAAAAAAAACATCATTTTCGATTGCCGTTAGTTACGTAAACATATGTTCATAATTTCATAATTTCACATTCTGGATTTAGAGTTATGAAATTATGAATGTGTAGTTATGCAATTCTGGATTTATAGTTATGAAGTTATGGATGTGTAATTATGCATGCAATTCTGGATGTATAGTTATGAAGTTACAATTTCACATTCTGAATGTATAGTTATGAAGTTATGGATGTGTAGTTATGCAATTATGAATGTATAATTATAAAGTTATGGATGTGTAGTTATGCAATTCTGGATTTATAGTTATGAAGTTATGGATGTGTAGTTTTGCAATTCTGGATGTATAGTTATAAAGTTATAGATGTGTAGTTATGTAATTCTGAATTTATAGTTATGAAGTTATGGATGTGTAGTTATGCAATTCTGAATTTATAGTTATGAAGTTATGTATGTGTAGTTATGCAATTCTGGATTTATAGTTATGAAGTTATGTATGTGTAGTTATGTAATTCTGATTTTTTTTTTTTTAAGTCAGACGTTAAAATGACATCATTTTTACAACCGTGTGCACCGTGTTGTACATCATAACGCTCCTCAACTTGGTCCACGGTATAAGCATTGAATTTTCATCTCGTAAAGATTATTGGAGTCCTAGTCCATTGGCATGCCCATTACAAGAGCTGGAGAGACTTACTGGCCCAAGGGAGACTGGGAGAGAAAAAATGTTTAAATCATAGATGTGGCCTTTACCATAAATGTTACTCCGTATTTGATTTTAAAAATCCAACAGCTTAAAAAAGTACGGCCCAAAAAAGATGGAGGCCCAATAAATCATGGAGGCCGAATAAGTACACAGCGGGTCGTTATATTGTGGACCGCGGTGCACATACATCGCGGTCAAAACGGCACCGTTTCTTTAAGTAAAAAAACAATGCGTCGTCAGTGTTAACAAAGCGTGCATTTTTTGTATGTTAATACTTAATTACCAACTGACAATACAGTGTATCTAAACCGACACTGCCTCACGTATTATTTTTATATTATCAAATGAAACTACAATTATATCAAAATGATATTGTAGTTGTGGTGAAATGAAACTGCAGCGTATATAAAATGAAACTGAATAACATTTCACATATTTGAGTGTATATTGTATAATGAAGCTATAATTATATCAAAACGATCATTTAGTTGTGTTTTAATAAAAGTATAGTGTATATAAAATAAAATTAAATAACATTTTCACATATTTGATTCTATAAATATTGAATGAGACTGTAGTTATATTGAAATGAAACTATAGTTGTGTTGAACTGAAATTGAATAACAGAGTTACTTTTTACGGAAGGGTGCGGAACGACGCGAAACAGATGCCGTTTTTTTTTCATTAAACAAAACGGTGTCATTTTGATGCGCGGTGCATAATCGATTATGCACCGCAGTGCACAATATAATTTGCTGTACACAGCCTACAACAAGGGCAAATTATAATGTGAAACCGTGTCCACCTGGCAAGGTGGACACGGTTCCATAACGGCATCGTTTTGGTGGAAAATGACGCCGTGTCAATAAAAAAAAAAAAATAAAAAATCTTTCTTTCGCTTTTAACAACATTTGTCTTCAAGAAGTCTATATTCATAATTATAGAACTCTATGTTCATAATTTTTGAACTCCATATTCACAATTATTAAACTCTATATTCACAATTACAGAATTCTATGTTCATAATTATAAAACTTTATGTTCATAATTCTTGAACTTTATATTCACAATTTTTGATGTCGTTGAATTCTTTTAACAATTAAAAAAAAAAAATTGATTTGCACCTTTTGTGAAGGAAAAACAGCGGTGCTACTAACAACACCGTTACTTATAAATTACAGAACGTCATCGTATTTGAACCGTGTCCACTCCATGGCTTAACAGTCCCTACCAAGTGTGGGGCCGGATATAGCAAAACATTGCTTTAACTGCTTTGCTTCTGAATTCTCATTTCTCACGGTATTCAGAAACAGATATTTTTGGAGATTCCAGTTTTTTTTTTTTTTTTTTTTTTTTTTTTTTTTTTTTTTTTCTATAAATCAATTAAAAGACCAAAAAGAAGAAAAAAAAAGTTTTGAAGTTTCCGTTCCATTGAACTGTTGCTCAGTTAGCAACCTCACCATCACCGGCAGCAAAGATGAACTTAGCCGCTCTCAACAGCTTGGGGTGCAGATATGGGATTGGTTACACCACAATCTCAAGCTGCAATCACCTGCGTCGCAGCAGAACTACTCCGTTTGGTAAGTTCGAATTCACAAAATTCTCTGTTTGTATTTTCAATCCAATTCTGTGCTCATAGTTTCAGTAATGGTAGGCTAATAGCTCAAATATGTATTGAAAATTTTACTTGTTTCATTTTAGAAGCGCGCTACTGTGAGAATCAAAGGAAAATGATTGAGGGGAGGATTTCATGCGAGGCTCTTCAGGAAGATGCTGAGTCATTTGTAAAGACGCACTGGCTTGCGGGGGTTACTAGTGCTGTAGCTGGTAATGTTCTCTCATCTTTTCATGATTCAAGTTGTCACGTCTGAATGGAGTGAACCTCCAACTTGTTAAACATGCTGCTTTGAATGATATTCCTTGTGATTCAAATGACTAGTACACATTCGTGAAATTCGTAGTATAGCTCGAACTTGATCAACCTGATTTATATCATATTGTTTTTAGTTTTGTCTTTGAGGATTGGGAGTGGTCTAGTGGTTGTGTGCTCAATCTCAGATTGTAAATTGTCTTATGCTGCTTTATGAGTTTTTATGATAAATTTATTTTTATTTGACTATGTAATGATTTGTAGTTATTGATGCTATTTACAAATTTATTACAATAAGTCAATAACCAAATTTTTGTTTCACATTTTAGCGGCAAATTTGATTGTGACTGATACTGCAAATGCTACAAGTATGGAAAGCATCATGGTGAGAATTTCTCTGTGCCAGTTTTATTGTCTGGTTCTACTTTCAGTGTGTATGACCTATGGTCATGGATAGAGATATGTTGTTTCTTGTGCATACTATTTCAGTGGCCTATCATTTTCTGTAATATTGTTTGATTTTGTAATAACCCTCTTATTTTATTGGGATCAGGATTTTCCTGCTTCTCTTTATACATTGGCTGATGGAGGCGTTGGCGATTGGTTTGGAAGCTTTGTATATTCTGCTGGTCAACAGGCTAATGAAGCTGTTCAAGGCCAGCTATCAGCTCTCAGTTTTTCCAGGTCAAATTCTTGTATTTGTATCTGTTTTTAATACTTCAAAAAATATGCTCCACATGATTTACCAACTGATGATTGTTACATGCTCCGTTTTGCAGTTTAGCTGTTATATTTGGTGCAGGGCTTGTAACTAGCCTTTCACCATGTACATTGAGTGTTTTGCCACTTACCCTTGGTTACATTGGTAGAAACGCTGATCTTTACTTTTGATTCTAACCATTTGTTATTATATCTCCTCTCTTCTTGTCTGACACTGGCTTCTATTTTCCTTTTTTATCTTGGAAATCCCCTAGGTGCATTTGGGTCTGGCAAGAGTCGTGCAGCGGTGAGCCCCAAAGTTCCTCTTTTGTAAAATTTTATCTGTCCTGTTTGAGTGTTTGACACTTGTTTTGGATGAACATTACTTGTCATCATAATTACACATTGTATTGCAACTATGATGCTTGTAAACAAATCTTAATTCAGATTTTCAGACTTATAATGAGGGATTGAACTTGGAGATTTTTCATGATAATTAACTTCATGGATTCCAAAATAGTATAGTTCTCCTTTTGTTCTGTTTTAATTTGCTATCTCAACATGATTCTCCACAGCTGTTGAACTCCTTGTTTCCATCTAAACTATATGTTTTGTTGGATAGGCTGTTGGAAATTCAGTTGCTTTTGCATTAGGATTGGCTACAACACTTGCATTACTTGGCATTGCTGCTGCATTTGCTGGGAAGGCATATGGTCAGATCGGACGTGGACTGCCTGTGGCTGCTTCTAGTCTAGCTATTGTTATGGGGCTTAACTTGTTAGAGGTAACAAAGTAACAAATTATGTTAATACTGCTGCTTTGTCCTGAATGCAGTTTTTTTCTTTTGAAAGATATTAACTTTATAGATAATGAATATTAATTATAAGGGAAATTTGTTGTCTTGGCTCTTGGGTTTACTTAAGTCAGTGATCAAATAAGCTGTGGGCGAGGGAAACAGTATGCTCTTGTCTTCCTTAAGTTTTAACAATTGCTTTGACCTGCCAAAGGATCTTGTATCATGCCAAAATTAGGGAAAGAAGCAATCTTATCTATCAGAAAGGTTGTTCCCAAGGTTTGAACTCATGACCTAAGTACCTAACAGTTGAATTAAGCACTTGGGCAACTAGGCCAAGCTCAAGTTGCAAATTTTAACAATTATCACATGGAATTTTATGGTTCTAGATTGATATTCTATTTTCAGTTCTGTATTTCACTTAATGGATCTTCCCGGGCGATGCTGCAGGTAATAGAGTTGCAGCTTCCCTCATTTTTCAACAATTTTAATCCCCGTGAAGCAGCTGCCAGTCTTCCTTCAAGTACTTAATTTTCAAATTACATTCTTGGATTTTAATGTGTTCATAGCTATTATTCATCTGTGCTTATATAATAGTAGTCTTTACAAATTTCATTTTTTCAGGTGTGCAAGCATATTTGGCAGGCCTTACATTTGCCTTAGCTGCATCACCTTGCAGTACACCTGTGCTAGCATCCATACTTGGATATGTTGCTGCATCTAAGGTAAAAATTTGTGTTTTAACTTTATTTATTTATTTTGAGTAGGAGAAGTGGCATGGAGTATTAGATTACAATAAGATTCTGAACTGATTTCTGGCCAATACTTCTAAAAACACATAATAACTGTTGATTTACTTATCAATTTGTTAGATTTAGGAATATATTAACATCAGAATCAATAACAGGATCCAGTTGTAGGAGGCAGTTTACTGCTGACATATACGACCGGCTATGTTGCTCCGTTACTTCTTGCTGCTTCCTTTGCCGGAGCATTGCAGGTATTACTTGCATAATTTGACAGCAAAATTTTACATATTTTATGGCTTTCAGGAAAAATGTTTCCACAAGATAGAGCTCTATCTGAATCACTGAATGGTTTATATGTTTCACAACACTTTTTCATTCAGTGAAACAAAGAGAGAACAACAATTTATTTTATTTTATTTATCAAGTATTGGTCCAAGTGAAGTTTCTTGAGTTTTTTCCTTTCCTTTTTTTTGTTTTGTTTTTAATTCCTAATTTGGTTCTTTAACTGCTAAAGTGGTACCTTGAATAAACAAAGTAAAATAATTGTGGTTCTCAGCACAGGTTAAATCATTTAAAGTAATTTTAGGGGTAGTACATAAGTGTGGAAAATGCTACATGTGCCTACATTACCTGAGTTCTCTAGTGTCGGTGCATTTCTTCATTATCTTGTATGGAGTATCACTTTAGCACCGAATTGTTCTAATGCAATGATATCTGCAGAGTCTACTATCGCTCCGCAAGTTCTCAGCATGGATTAACCCAGTCAGGCAAGTTTCCACAACTAATGCTGTATATTTGAGCAAACATCAATGTGCCTGTCTAAAATAAATGCACACTTTTGCGAGAATGTAATATCCTAATGATTTTATTCTTATATTTTGCAGTGGTGCACTACTATTAGGTGGTGGTGTATATACCTTCTTGGATAAGCTTTTTCCTGTCACAATGGCAATGTAGGCAATAGGTTGATTATTACCCATGATGTCTTGAGGCTGGAGGGCTGAGCAGCCGAGCGCTAATGCCAAGGTACCAGCTTTTCACATTGTTTGAGTGAGCCAAGTTCTTTCCCTAAAGCATGATTCCTATCTAAGATCAGAAGCTCTGGTTGTCTATCAAATTTCTGGTGATGTTAAGTACTCATTGAACTATGGTGAATGACATAAGGACCAACAGAGTGGAATTTCAGACCCATATTTAAGGTGCATTATTGTAGGAGCGATTAGACTGATTCTGAACAGAACCATTGTGCATTGATATATATATTATAATATTATATATACACAGTTTAGTAACTATATGAAAAATCTTGACTTATGAAGTTAGATCCCATCCATGAGCATTCACCAACTTTGCACTAAATGTGATGCTTTGGTCTTAAGTATTATTATTAGCATTTACATTTGTATAATTTTCTCTAGAAATTTCATTTACTAACTTGCGAGATAGGTTGGTGTGCATTATAGAAAGGCTTGCGAACTAGTTTCAAAAAAAAAATAAAAATATTATTTTTGAATTATCGTTAATAAAAATAAACACATTCTACATGCACCACATACATATTAGGGTGCTTCATGATGGAATTATACACCCCTAATTATGTTTGAACTAGATTGATCTATAACTTTTAATTTTTTTTAGAGTTATATATCCTATGGTCGATGCTAAGGTAAAGAATTGACAGTTGGCTCATGATCAATTGAAAATAATGATTTACTAATAGCTTCATCAAAGAGAACATGGAACAATGATCATCTCAATTTTTTGTGGGTCTTCTTGATTTAATTTGGTACACAAAAAGTGCAACATGTTATAATTAAGATCCTTAATTAACGTCAAAACAAAATTTAAAAACTCTTTCAATCATTTTTAAAAATATGCTTATTTAATGTATTTTTTCACACTTTTTTTTTAAATACAAGTAAATAATAATGACTGGACAGGTTGACACGAGTTTTCCCTGCCAAGAGAAAGTGATAGGCTTTTAAAGTTGCACAAATTCCATCCATTCAGCTACTAAATAGCTACGTCTCTGATGATATTTTAAGTTGAAAATTGTTTTAAAACTTAAAATGTTAAACTTTTGTGTGTGTGTGTGTGTGTTTTTTTTTTAATCAAGCAATGTTTGAAATAACCTTCTAGTTAATTTTTAATGTAACACTAAATATGTTAATTAATTTTCTAACAATTACATTTTTTAATATTATTTTGGCAAAATGTAATTCATGAGAAAGCTGACCAATTTCTATGGAAAGTGATAAATTGGTATGTGATAATCAAAGGAATAGAAGTAAAGTTTTTAGTCGAGTTTGAGACAAGATCCAAAAACTATTAAAAAAAAAAAAAAACAATTTTATATAGCTGACTATTTTCCTCTCCCATTTGTCGTTTTCATTTTACATAGAAGTAATTAATACATAAAGAAGTAAAGAACATAAAAAGGAGGCAGTAAACTAGGGTTGGTTGAAGAAAATTTCGACTGCATCTTCTACAAGAAAACCAGAACATATGTATATGGTGTTGACTTTGCAGTCTAACTAGCCATGCATCATCACCAACAACGTTGACGATTTAGCATGGATTCTTAAAAAACCACCGGAAATTGCTGATTAATGTGCCCTTCGGTTAATCATCTCCTTATATTGGTTCAGCGATTCCTGCCTCTGCATCCTCATTTCCTCGTTGAACTTCTTTATGAACGCCTCCACTCGGCGGTTCAGCTCGTCCTGGCCCAGCGACGGCTCCTTCCTGAGTTTGGCTGACCTGGCGGACAACGGACTCGGTGACGTCGACTTGCCAGCGGCGGTTGAGCGGTCATTGAATGTCTCAGATTTTGTCATTTTCTCCTGCCGTAGATGGCTGCGCCCGCCGTGGGTCTCCCACGTGTCCGACTTCCTCAAGTGCCTCGTCAACGGCATCGCACGCCCTTCCGTTATCGTCTTCCACGTGCTCTCCAGCGTGTCCTGCCGTTTCGGCTTCGACACCGCCAATGCGCCTTTCCCACCTGCGCCCAAGTATCTAACCACATAAATCTAACAGGATAACCTTAACCTGCGCTCCCTCTATTTGTTGTCTTATTTGCCGTTTTCCCCGAAAAAAATATTCGTAATAAAATAACATAGTTAGCTTATAAATCAATTTTAATATTTAATTAATTAACTTTTTGTAACAAGTTATTATTTTTAAAAAATGTTAAATTTCAAAAAATTATTCAAAGTAATTTTGATGTAATCAACTGTAAACTAACAGTTAATTTACCAAACATTTTTCTACAATAATAATATCAAATAGTCAAATGTACTAATACAATTAGATAATAACTATCCGCTATCAACTATTTATATAATAAAATACTCCAAAAACGAAATATTTTGCTAACTCTACCCCCGTTGCGGAAAGTTCTCCAATAAAAATGTTCTAAATATGGACACCTAAAAAGTGTCCTTTCTAATTCCAATAAAATACTCGAAACCAAATAATTTCAAAAACTGAATTTTTTAAATTGAATAGTATTGAAGTTTGTTCCCCAGTCCGACAAAACATTAAATAATGACTCGTACCCCTACACGATCTAACGGTAACCTTAAAGGACGGCAAATAATTGAACGGACATATTACCGTTATCGGCTAGTTCTCGCCGGAAAGTATACAATCTATTAACTTAACTGCCAATTTTAAAGGAAGGAATCACATAATAAAAGGCATACAATTAAGTGAGTTAACAGAGTGAGACTTACCGTCAGGAGTGGATTTAGCGTTTTTGCGGTGACTGAATCTGGAAGAAGCCGGTGGCTTCTCAGTCGAAACTGAATAATCTGATGACTCTTGCCTCGACAAAGGCGTCCACGACGATCTCGAGATCACAAACTCATCATCTTCTTTCTCCTTCTTTGCTTCTTCTTCAGGAAACGCAGATGCAGTCTGTGGAGTCACGGCATCTGCACTTTCGACCTGGGCTTCATAGGTGCTATTACTATAAGAGAAAACTTCCGGCCTTGTACTGGTCGTCTGGTTATTCAAAACGACGTCGCTGAAGCTCGGCACGAGATCGGAGAACACGGTGGCGGGCGGTTGAATTTCCCGCACCTGAGGCAGAGCGGGGTGAGATTGGACATGCGTATCCGGCGGAGGAGCTGACACGTGGTCATCGAGCTTGGACTGGAGCTTGGAGGAGGCGACAATGGTGATGATGATGCAATTGATGACGAGGTAGAGATACGGAGGACGGAGCCACGAAACGACGGCGTTCCAGATGGATGGAACGTCGCTGACTGCGAAATCACTGATAACCGGAGCGGAGATCTTTAGCATCACTGCGGCGGAGATTACGGTGGTGGAAATCAGTAAGATTCTGAGGGAGAGGGCGGAGGTGGTGGCGCTTTCAAATAGAATCGTCATTTGTACGATAGAAGGAGAGTTTGAGAGATTTACAGAGACAGAGAGAGAAAGAGACAGTCAGTGTGTGGGTGTGTTTGCCGTTGGGTATGGTGTTTGGATACGAAGCGGATTTTATACACCCAAGAAGCAGAGAGCTGTCTGCTAAATTAATGAAATTTTGATACTGTCTGTATTTACGTTATATAAATCTGTGTGAAAATAATTATTGATACATTTTTGCTTTACAAATTTAATTTTAGTACAATAATAAAAAGCAAAAAAAATCAAATTGACCACTGAATTACATCTAAAAATGCAATAAAGTCATCCAATTCAAAAAAAAAAAAAAATGAAAATACAATAAAGTCATCCAATTCAAAAAAAAATGTAATTAAATGCACAACAAACTAAAATCATACAATTGAGTTAAAAGTGACTTGTTCACTGGGTTAAACGATGATGTGACCGTTAACATTTAATAAATTATTTTATTTATTTTAAATATTACAAATTTTTAAAAATAATAATAATTTAATATTAATTAAAAACTCCAACCCCACTCCCTCTCCGACACGAGGCAAAGCAAAGCTGGGAGTTATTCGTAGGCTGGTTGCTCATGGTGACATTTTAGAGGTAATTAAAAGAATTTACTTTATACTATAGGATGATTCTAGATTTATGAAGACACTCAATTTATTTATTTATTTTTTGCAGAATGGTGACTTCACCAAGGTTTGGCTTTCGCAAGAATTGCATACATGGGGGATACGAACTGCAGGGGAGGGGTGGGGTGGGGTTGGGTTTTTTAATTTTTATTATTATCTGTAAAAATTTGTAATATTTAAAATAAATAAATAAAATAATTTATTAAAGGTTAACCGCCACGTTCACGGTTAACCTATAGAACAAGTTACTTTTGATTCAATTGCATGATTTTAGCTTGTTCAGTGATTCAATTATTTTAAACAAAAATTCAGTTGAATGACCTAATTGCAATTTCATGTACAGTTCAGTGATCAGTTTAAACATAGTAGTTTTATCCGTGGCAATCAGAAGAAGCACAGCGCCATCTCCTTAAACATGGGGGGCCGATGACGGGAAGGCAGACTTGGGTTTTCTGATCTCCACCGCCACTGGGCAGATTTAAACTCAACACTGACAGCTCCAAGAAGATAAACTCGGGCATGGCCAGCGCTGGGGTGTCCTCCGCGATCATCACGGCAATTGGACCATGGGGTTTATGGCTAAAATCGGCATTACATTCAGTTTCATTGCGGAACTCTGGGGGTCTCCGGGAGGGGCTTATCATGGCTAAAAACAATGGAGTCTTGAGGCTAATTGCGGAATCTGATTCAGAAGCTTTGGTACATGTCATTCACAATGTTTCGGGATCCAGTTCGGAAGCTGATACGTTGGTTATGGATTGCAAGAGCTTGATGGAAGGATTCCACGAGTGTGATCTCCGGCATGTCCTCCGTGAAGGCAACCAATGTGCGGATTTCCTTGCCAATATGGGTCATAATAGTCCGTGGGGGACAACGCTGTTGGATCGTCCTCCTAATGGGATGAGCTCCCTTCTGGCTCGTGATAGCAACAGTGTTGCTACTAGAAGGCTTGCGTAATTTTGGGGCTTCCTTTCTGCTCCTCTTTTCTTCACCAAAAAAAAAAAGTAGTTTTATCCAATTTAGTCATTGATTACAGTAAAATTTTTCAATTTAATCTTTAATTATAATAGTCAATAACTTAAATGAATAAATTATCAAACTCAATAACCTAATTACATACAAAAAAAATCATTTAAGATTAAATTAAAAAGAATTACCATAATTAAGAACTTGAATATTAGTTCCTTATCATTCCAAACAGGCACCATATAAATATTAGTTCGATCCAATAATCAAAGAAAGAAATAAATTATTAAAACAAAACATTACCTTAATAAAACAAAACATAACCGTTGTTGAGGGGGAGCGTTTTCAGGATCCGCCCTATTGTCGAATGGTCTGTGCTCACGTGCAGTCGGTGCAAACTGTTCAGTGGGTGCATGGCTCTAACCGACCATCATAGGATTTTTTAAATACAAAGAAACCTACAATTTGATATGGGCGTGCTGACTGCCCAGTATAGCTGTACATAAATATTGTTTCTCTACATTTAACTAAAAATTAGTTAATAATTATTGAATATATTATTATGTTCTTAAAATAATAAAAGTCAACACCAAAGAAAAGGATATGACCAAGCGGTCGATTTTTTTTTGTCATGGTAAATGACTGTTAGTTGATTGAGTTACAGGTAATGATTAGTTAATAAACATTAGCTAATTGTACAAATGTTTTACCTGATAACTGTTTGATATAATTTTTTTTTTTAAAAGTAAATTGAGAAAATTAATTTGAGCAACTTTTTGAATTTTAACATTTTGAAATTACAAAAAAACAAAACATTTGTATTGATTTTTTTAATCAAGTCAAACTGCTAATAGTAATCAAATAAACTAAAATTGAATGATCAACTAACTATTTTACCAACCAGACATTATTTTGTGATTTCGTTCCACAAATAACCTGCATTGCCATCTAAATATGTAGCTCGAAGCCTTGAATATTGAATAGCCTTCGCCATTACGCCCCTTATCTTGTGTAACCTTGCATTTGTGAATTCATTGCGAAGTGTACACATTTTTCTTTTATAATTTTTTTTTAATCTATGCAGTATGGCCCACTCTCATTTATTCCTCCCTTATCCGATCCGATTCCCTGCCCGACAGCCAATGGTTGCAGTGCCTTAAAAAAATTACATTTTATAATTTGTTACGAAGTATTATGGTGTACGTACTGTATACTTTATACACCACATTATTAATTTATTATCTTTTACATAAATTTTAAAACACATATTCACGTAGTTATGTAATTTAGTGTATTACTATTATTATGAGCAACCTCTCAAAGTGAGGGGGTTCCTTGTGCGCAATGGCACGGTCTAGCCTCTGTAGTTCATGTTCAGTTGAGTTATCATGATTTACATCTTCCCAAATCCTCTGTCGGGTTGAGGTGTGGGGGTCTTTAGGGTTGGTGTTCAGTCTTAGTGGAAGAATGTATTACTATTATATTTATAGTAGTGGTATCTTCCAAAAGGCTGAACCCCAACCCTAACAGGGCGTTTGGCCGGTTGGAAGGGGGGAATTACGTGGGAAAGGAATTGCAATTTCATGGGAGATGAATTACTGGGAATAAAGTAGGAATTTAAATTTCAGTGTTTGGTTTACGGGAATAGAATTACTGGGAATTTTAATTCCAATGTTTGGTATACATGGGAATTGAAAGGGAATAAGTAGTATAAAATCCAAAATACCAATTATTGTTGTGGTATTAATTTTAGGTTAAAGAAAAGGAGGGATAATTTTGTCTCATCACTAACTTTTTTTCTTCCTAAAATCCCAGGGGGACATGGGATTTTAATTCCATAAAAATGGGGGAATTGCAATTCCTTCCAACCAAACTAAGGAATTTTATGACCTTTGGAATTAAGTGCGAAGGGAATTTAAAATCCCTCTAACCAAACACCCTGTAAGGGCCCACCACACCCCGACCCGACAGAGCATTTGGGAGGATGTAAATCAGGGTAACTCAACTGAACATGAACCACAGAGGCTAGACCTGTGCTCACTGCGCACAAGGAACCCCCCTCACTTTGAGAGGTTGCTCCCACACTGCCGCTGGTGAGACTCGATCCCTGGTCATGATTATACTTTATATTATATTTAATAAAATAAAGTTATTTTTTCTTCTTATAGCTTCTATATATAGCATTGACAAATCAAACAAAACAGTACAATATGGTTACGTGCTATACTGCTATATCATAAAACTGTACTCCAAAACATTTAGCAGGCAGGTGGCCGGCCTGGTATTCTTGAATTTTGTTAGCAATTTTCAAGGCTGAAGATACGATATGATCATGCATGGAGATGGTAATCTATATATATATATATATTTCTCCGACTCCTTAGTAGCCACATATATCCAGCTACCACCCCAGAGAAGTATAGCAGCCAGGCCAGGAGGCAGCTGCCAATTTGAAAATTTGATCCTAATAAGAGATAACAATTGTTGAAATCCTTGCAGATCAGATTAATTACTTCTAATATACAAATACCCCATTGCATACATAATAATTTTAATTTATATAAAATTTTCACATTGTATATTATAATAATTAATAATATATGAGTTTGTACGATGTTTTAGTCTTCCAAAAGTGATATACAGATATATAGCAATTTTCATTATTTTTTTGTATGACGAAAAAATTTATATTCACCATCATAGAGTGTGCATGCACCAAGTAAACCTTATCGTGTAACCATATTCGAATCCGACAAAGAATCACAATAAATAAATCAGTTTAGATTTTTCATAACTTATCAACTCAAACTAAAAATGTCAACAAACCGCTTAATAAAGATTATATTGGATTTGAAATATTACAATTGTTAAGGTAATAGTTTAGCAACCTTAGTTGAAATTGTACCTAATTTTCATTAATTTTTGTGTCCCAGAGAGTTAGAAGTGTAGGTGTTGATGCCTCCGTGTACCGAAACATGATTAGAAATCAACCTAATCTTTGCTGACCAAAACTAATTAAGACAAGAAAAGTGGTTTTCAAGGTCTTGTTTTGTTTTTATGTTTTAGGCACGCAAATTAAGGAGTCAACTAGAGTTCAGGTTTGCCTTCAAGCCGTCCATTGCATGTCTGTTTGACAACTGTGATAGTGTGAAGTGTAACTCCATAGAAGTAAATTGAAAATCCTTTCATAAGAATAAGTAAATTAAAAATTGTTGTGCTTATCATCACACCATGAAAAAGATGCAAGACCTACATTTATAGTAGCCTTCAAACAAAGCGTGCAAAACCCAAAAAATTAAAGCTTGTTTCGAAGTCTGTGTAAAATGGAGACCTAACATATAAGAATATGTTTTTGCATCTGACATGAGAGAAAAATGTTGTAAAGCTGGG